ATATAATACATCTTCAACTAATAATATTCCACAACTAATATTCCAAAGAGTTTGACAAGGAACCAGCTGCGGGCTCATGTGTCCTCATTGTATCTTTTCCAGACATAAACTCAGCCAGACATCCTAAGAGGAGATTCAGAGGCACAAGCAAAGCAGATACCATTTCTCTGCAGCTGCAGGTCCTCTTTCCCCTGCATGGTTCTGTGGACCTCAAAGAGCGGATAGGATGTCCTTAGAGTAGTCTCGTTTTGGGTATCTGTGTATTCTTCTATACATGGCTATTTTCATCCTATGATTATGTATATCTGCTTATAATTGTAGAGTCTTCTTTGAGTAGATACATGTTCGGTCATGGTTGGTACATTTCAACAATTTACTACAGCAAAACAAGACATCCCGGAAAAGGAAAAAGCATTTACTTAGAACAATGTAACAAAAATCATCTCAACTATTCACAACAAACATGAACTGAAGTCTAAGCTACCAACTTGAGTACAGAGGGGATGTAAAACATCTGTATGTGTGAGTGGCAGGAAGGGTCTAGTGCAAACTCCCTCAGTTATGCTCAGTCCAAAGACCCTCAAGGAAACAATGAGCAAGTCCCATCTCCAGATAGAAGCACCGGCTCAGTGAGTCTTCAGACAGCAGCTCGGAGATGCCACCTCCTTCTCATCACCAGCTTAGATGTGAGCGGTCAATGTCCCACTGCGGCAACACATCCGACAAAGACAGGGAAGGAGGCAGCTGTTGTTTCTTCTCCCCATCCTCCCCAGGGAAGTGCTGCTGCCAGAACTATGGCAGCTGTAGGGCCAGGGATTGTCTGGCTGCAGCAGGCAGCACGCATGGCCATGCACTGTGAGCAGAGGTGGTGGTGTGGCTGGGTGGTAGCTGGCTGATTGCTGCAGGGCATCTGGAAGGGGAAGTGTGCTGGCCTTAGAACAGGAGCTGTTCTCCTTTGGAGTCATTTTACAGAATCTTTTATTGTAGGGCAAACGATTGCTCAAAGTCAGAAAACCAAGTCTATGATGAAATGGGTAAGAAAAAAATAAGGTCAAGTCACATCTGTTATAACAGCTAAGATTTGGACCAATTTCAGGCACCAGTTTTAAGAGAAATGCAAATGAATCTTCTGAGAAAATAATGATATTGGGTATGGAGACGGAAGACAGTAGAGGATTTCGGGAAGGAAAATTAACCTGGTGAGGTAAGCAGGTCCACCTTCCCATCTTCTCCCTCGAGTTCAAGATAAAGACAAAGGATGCAATCCAGGTGACATCTAGCCCACAAGGAAAATCCTCTTGTTCTGCTCACCCCAAAGCCGAACGGGCCATCCTAATACTCTCACCTCCACCTTGTCTTGTGCATCCCCAAGAGTTGACATTTTAAAGCCACTAAAATGCATGCCAAGAAATTCTGTTGAGCTGGCCTTAGCTCATTGTTCTCTAACCAGTTAGGAAACACGGGGTTTCAATATCCAGTTTTGAAAATGTGTGCTCCTCTGTTGGGAGCTAGACTGATCCAAGGCTTTCTCAGAGGCCAAAAAAGGACATAAGAAATATAGCTTTGTGTCCTTGTTTAGGGGCTGACTTGAGAAGGTGGAATCTGGGGCTGGGACTAGGGCCTTGAAGGATTTGAGGTTTAGGTTCTGGGAACCTAACTTTCTCCCATGAAGGGCTGTGGTTTATCAGTCCTAAGGCAGCTAACTGTACCTGGGGTGTCCTGTGCTCTCTTTGCCAGTATTATTTGATTTAGTTTTCTGCTGACCTTGGCCCATTCTCCCCCTACAAATATATAAGTATATAAGATGCTATACTTTTTCCCCTCCAAGACAGGGTTTTTCTGTGTAGCCCTGCCTTTCTTAGAACTCACTCTGTAGACCAAGCTGGCCTCGAACTCAGAGACCCACCTGCCGCTGCCTCCTGAGGGCAGGGTGTGCACTATCACTGCGGCTGATTCTATACTTAAGAAACTTGCTTGACATAAGCCATCAGCTTGTACAAAACCTCCTGGTCCCATATTTTGTTTTTTGTCTTTTTTATTTCTCATCCTCCAGTCCTCCCCCTCAACATCTTCCCTTTCAGAACCAGTTTCCTGAAGGGTCATACCCATACTCAACCCAATGAGTATACAGTCTAGATATTAATAAAAATGTGGACACTTCCTATTTCGTATGTGCACATGTAAACTGAGTCTCTGGGAACAGAGATTTGTAGAGAAAGAAGCGGCCATCTTGGCGGTAGAGAGAGGTGCACCGACAAGCAACCCTGTCTCTCCTCCACTGCCTTCTCCGATGCTCAGGTAGCCAGAATATCCAAAGATGCCTTTGATGCCTTCTTCTCTTTCTCTCCCCAGTCCCTTAAAAAAAAAAAAGATGGTCATTTTTAAGACAGGAAATCTGAGAACTGCTCCACTGAGCCACACTGTGGCCAATCCTCCAGACCCTGATTGCCAGTGGCGAAGGAACAGCGTCTTGTCCTGGTGATGAGCAACTCTGAACGTGGCTAAAAGATCTCCCACACCAAACAACTCCACTTTTGTCTTAGGAATAATTCAGGACTTCCCAGATATTTTCTCCCCTTCTCCTCCTCTTTCACCTCCACCTCGTCCTTCTAGTTTTTTCCCTTTTTCCTTATTTGAGACAAGGTCTCGTTGCATAGCATAGCCCAGGCCAGTCCCAAAATTGTAATTCCTTTGCCTCAGCCTCCTGACTGTTAATATTACAGGCGTGAACCACTGTGCCCAGGCCCTCCCTTTATAAGCACAAGTCCGGCATCTTTTCTAAGGGCTACAGTTTCACTAACAGAAGATATCATACGCCTCTGTGGTGGTTTGAATGAGAAAAGTCCCCGCCCCCTTAGGCTCATGTATCTGAACACTTGGTCCCCAGTGGGTGACACTATTTGCAGAATAGCCTTGCTGAAGGAAGTTCACGACTTAGAGGCAGGCTTTGAGGATTTATAGTCTTGCCCTAGGTCCTGTTCTCTTACTGCTTCCCGTGTGTGGATAACAATGTGACCAATCAGCTTACAGCTCTGTCACCATGCCAAGCCTTCCCTGCCATAAGGACCCTGTCCCTCGTGAACCGTGAGCTAAAATAAAGCTTTTCTTCCCTGAGTTGTGTTTTGGTCCTGGTGTTTTATTACAGCACAGAAAATGAACTGATATAAGCCCCTTTCCACCTAAGCCTCTATCTTTCTGACAGTATGTCAGCCATTTGGTAAAACCTTCCCAGTTTGGGCCTAAGGAAGATCTCCTGGGAAGGGAAGAGTAGTGAAGGAATGTGTTCTTGTTCATTCTGGATAAAAAGCTATGCCTAAAGAATCCCCATGCTCTGAAATGCCCCAACAGACACATTTCCTCAGAGACTGACAAACATCACAAATGCTTGCATGCTCCTCAGATGTGCCTGCCTTGTAAGGGAACTGTGGGAAGGAGGAAAGAAATGGAAAATATGAAGGAGGCTCTATTCAAGCATTATACAGCCGTCACTTAAAAACATGGCTTTCCCTAGAAGAAACGAGTCTATCTCTTTTGGGAAAAGCCATATGGTTGCTGGGAATTGAACTCAGGACCTTTGGAAGAGCAGGCAATGCCCTTAACCTCTGAGCCATCTCTCCAGTCCCCCCCCCCCGCTGGTTCTTTTGCAGTGTTGGACTGCACACAAGCTGGAAGGGAATGGGAGACGGCACAGTTGGCGGGGAGGGGTGGGGAAGGGGACACAGACAGAGAAGGGGCGATAATTGATCCTCCAAGAACAGTTAATGAAAATCAAATGCAGCCGGGCGGTGGTGGCGCACGCCTTTAATCCCAGCACTCAGGAGGCAGAGGCAGGCGGATCTCTGTGAGTTCGAGACCAGCCTGATCTACAAGAGCTAGTTCCAGGACAGGCTCCAAAGCCACAGAGAAACCCTGTCTCGAAAAACCAAAAAAAAAAAAAAAATCAAATGCAGCCTTAAAACAGAGTGTGGGTCTAAGAGGGGATGGCCTTGTTCTAGTAACACATCTTAAACAAATAAGAACAAAAAAACCTGGCAGCCCCCATGATGATCACAGATGATCGGTCTTTGTTACAAAATCTTTTCAGTTTCTCATTCTACTGGCCAATGAGCTCCATAAAAGGGGCGCTCGTGTTTTACTGATGGCCGTAGCTGGCCTGAAACTATGGAACAGAGATCTGCCAAGAACTAATGTGTTTGTAAATCTATTGTACAGAGAGAGAGAGAGAGAGAGAGAGACAGACAGACAGACAGACAGACAGACAGATATAGAGTGCTCATCTCAAAGGGAATAAAATAGTGTAGAATATTCTAGAGCCAAATTTGAGTGACCAAGATCTAGGAATACATATTTCGGTCTCTCAAAATTCCAAAGGACATGTTAGAATGACAAAGAATGGTGACGAGGCACAGGTCAGCTACCTGCGCGTCACCCTCCGTTCCTTAGTCCCTGGCCCACGTCCATCTCTTCTATCAGTAGCTGACCTCTAGACAGGGCGCTTGCTTGTGGGGCAAGATCTAGACTAGTCCACTGTGTTTCATGCATGCCCCTTGACAATTCTTGGCACTGAGTGGAGTAGGAGAGTCATTCCTCATTTATATTCGATTTTGTGGAGTTTGGCATGGTTACATGGTCTGACAGGGAAATCACGTGCAATGATCTAGACAAGTCGAATCTAAATACATACCTGCTTTTCAGAGACAGTGCTTGGTCTACTCTGCTACAATGGATGTTGCAACTGGTCACAGCAGCAGCTAGGTTAATGCAAGTGATGTGATAGCAAACCCTCCCTCAGGGCAAACGATCCATCCCATGGCTCCCTATGTGCCCCCGGACTCAGCCAAGAGCATAGCTTTAAAAAGGGTCTTCATACCTGCGGGCAATAAGGTTGGGAGGAGAAAGAAAGGAAGTCTCACCAAGAAACAAAAAGTCACATGACAATTAAGGGCCAACCAAAGGGAAGTTATGTGCGGCTTTCACGTGAAGACCAACTAGGACGAGACTGTAATTTCATCGAGTCATTTATTTAAATAACAAATCATTGCACATCATAGGTAAACTGATTACAGCAATATGAAAAGAGGATTCTGAAAACAATCTGGCAACTGAAATATGTACCTACTAACAAGGAGCCTTCTCTAAGGTACAAGGGAAGAAGAGGGAAACACTGACTTGCAGATTGATTTATTTGCACTTAAAAATACAATTTCTAATATGATATCTGTTTTCAAAATTGTCTAAATTGTAAAAATAGAAACAGGAACTCTTGTCTTCATGTTGAAAATTTAAATCTTTATCTACATTGACTTCCACATCACAGATGATAACATTAACACAAAAGCAGCACACGGAAGCCATGGAAACACAGCTTTTACATGAGAAAATGCTAGTTCACACTCCTCTTCCTCCTCCTTGACTGATGGAAAGCTTCCTAGATATGGTCTCTTTCCCTCTCCAGGACCTGAGGCTAGTCCACTGGTGAGCAGATGGGTGTTAGTAACACATTCATTTTACAGAGTCCGGATCGCTTCGGTTTCTAAGATGGTTTTCCTCTGTAAAACTGACTGCTGAGAATCTCCCCAGAAGACCATGCTTAAGCGCATGAGGGAAGCAGACAGAGACAAGACAAATCCATGTCTGACCGGTACAGCACTCAATCCCAAGTACAGACAGGCGCTCTGATAGTTCAACTAGAAGCTCCAAGTTGGTTCATACATGCCTTAATTTTGCTTAATCCAAAAGTAAGTGAAAATCAAATGTACCTCTTACAAACCAGAAAGAACACAGAGTTACTTTTTGTATTTCTGAGGCAAAAAAAAGTCTCAAAAGACATTTATAAAGTAAATTTGCTTTGAAAATAAGTTGTGCAATAAAATAATACGTCTCCGTTATTAAATATATACGTATATGCCTTTGTATATAATTTGCATCAAAATTGAGCATTCTATGAACATCTGCAATAAATATTTTAAAATAGCAATCGATAAAGAGACAATTAATATCCGTTCAGGTGTTCAGACACCAACAGTCAGAGAAGGGAAAAGTGATGAAAAACACAATCGGCTCTAGAATTCCCATGACACGGTGGCTGGATGTGGCACACGGTTAACTGTTATGTGCCTTACTGCACAGCACACATCTGTGGCACATGTGTGCCTCTCTGTAAATCTTGGACCCAAACAGTGCTGTTTTCTTACATCATTAAACACAACCAAAAGCCTGAGATTTAAGATGTTTACCACAACCTCCTTTTTCCTGGAAACTACTTGGGCTGGGTGCTCAGTGGTCCAGTGTTTCCTTAGCCGTGTGCCAATATTCATGGTTTATGCCCTAGGACAGGAGTAGGCAAGAGGAGAGCCGTACAGAAAGCATTTGGTCTACTGCGGTGGTGGTGGTAGGGGGAACACTTCAGGAGAAAAGGGAATTTGTGAAACTCATTTATACTCATTTGCTATCTCCAAAGTCTGCCCTATTCAGAGTGAGACTGAAGCTACAGGCCTGTGTAATTCCTCAAGCAGAATTTGCCACCCCTTCAAACTCAGAAGAATACAACTGCTTCACAAGTAAATGTAAGCAATATTCTTTAGTATGCTCAGCTATTCAGAGACCCTCATTATCAGTTGTGTTCCACTGAAAACAATTATTTTTATTTTCTTTTGGTACCCAAACTACCAAGACTTTTAATTCAAAGCCCTGAAGAAAAAGTTAAGGAGCAATAAAACAAATGCACCTGACGTAATATGCACACGTCCCGTGTTCAGCCTTTTAATTACACACTTCTAGGAAGTGCTCAGTTGACAAAGTGTCCTATGTGTTTATTGTCAGTAAGTTTGCTACAATTGTACCTTGATTTTTCCTATTCAATATTCAACCTGGGGCCGAGGATATGGCTCAGTTGTAGAACACTTACAAAGCAAACACCAGCCCTCGGGGTTTCATTTCTAGCACCGCAAAAATAAAATAAAATAAAATTCAACCTGTAGGCATGTACAGAATTCTTTATTATTTAAATACAGCGAAGCATCTGCTTTGAGTTTTTGCACAGTCCTGCTGCAATATGACTAACTGTGATGAACACATGTCACTCACTGTATACTGCAAACAGGAGGGGGTGGGGCTTAGTCTTCTCTAGTGTTCAATCTATATATCCTCTACGTGGTTCAGGCTGAGAACCTGCTCAGCCGTCTCAGTACACGGAATAGCTCTTCTATCACTTCCTTCTGAAGTGATCAAGTTTTATAAATGGACTGGAACGGACTTAAGTTTGTCCTCGCATATGAAGGTCTGTCCAGATCAGATGGAACTGTTCAACAGCAAGGCCATCTTCCTTGATAGAGTCTGATGGGCCCTTTACATTTCAAGTTCAACATTCTAAAATAATAAAAGCTAACAGCAAATGTACAATAGACCAAAATACTAACTGGGAGGCAGGGTTCTAGCAATCTAATACATACAGTAAAATATGTAAATAACTGGATGGTGGGAGAGCAATATGAAGAAACAACTCCACTCCTAAAAGGGCATGGAGGATTAGCCAATATGGGTTGTTTCATATTACTTATGTATAGACCAATCTAGTGACACATTAGATCTATCACTGTATCTAATAAAGAGATCCTTAAACAGCTTAAGTTACTTACAATAGGCAACCAGAAGGCATAAAATATTTAAATTTAGATAAATCATCTTCCATATTATCCCTTAAGTGGATCAATTGTGTCAAACAATCTGTAAGTAGCATATTGAAATAGCTAAGAGGGTCAACATCAGCATGTTGGTGATGTAAACGTATCACAAAGTGTTCATTAAATTTTCAGAAATTATCTTATTCATGAAAGCGACCTAACAATTGCAACATGCAGAGACAGTTTACAAAATAAGACTACCCAAGTAATCTTAAAAACAGGGACTTTTCGATGAGCACACACAGAGTTCACAGGGGTGAGACCAGTTCATATGCCAAATACACGGGAGAATCAAAGTTTAAGGGCACTTAAACAGAAAGAGTAACTACTGAGAGATAGCTGACAAGGTGATGCAATGGATGAGGGATGGGCAGTCACCGCGGACAGCAAGCAAATGCCAGAGTGCCAGGGGCAAGAACCCTGGAGCCAGACCAGCCTGGTCTACAGAGCTAGTTCCAGGACAGGCTCCAAAGCCACAGAGAAACCCTGTCTCGAAAAACCAAAAAAAAAAAAAAAAAAGAATCCTGGAGCCTTTGAGAACTGCTGCAGGCAAGAAGAAAGGCCCCACTGCCCATGGCCATTTCAGGAGCCTAGCAACCACAGCTGACTGAGGACAGCAGAAGCAGTATGTTCAATGGCCGAAAAGGACAAATTAATTTGCTAAGATCCAGACCTGATGGATCAGGTAGGATTTCTGTCATCAGAGGCTTCACTAATTACAACTAACCACACCAGAACTGGTGATTCAGAAACCGAGGGAATTCAACAAAGGGGGGAAAAGGACACAGGAAAAATGAAATGTCTAGGGAATTGACAAGAATTGATTTTTCCACTTGGTCATAAAGACTGTTCTTAAATCACTCTTGCTGTCCAGGGAGCAGGGCTCTACTCAACAAGATCACTAAACCTCATGGGGATAGAAGGGAGGCAGAATCATGTGAACTTTGACAGCCGGTGCTGCTAGTGCCCATCACAATAAAATGATTAGGGAAAGAGCGCGCACTTCTACTTGAAGAGGGGGCACTCGCTTTTCACTCTTCCACACCACAGGGTTTAAGCCCTGGTCAAAAAATTGTAGAATGACTTGACCTCCAATTCAATTAACCCAGGCCCTCGGGCCAGGGAGGGATGACAGTCACCCAGGGCTGCTAACTCACCCCTTTCCGAGGAGCTGGCCTGCCTGCCGCATTGCTCTAATGACCGCACACTGTCCTTCCCACGGAGGAATGTGAAGTGTATCTCCCTGTAACTCCTGCCCACTGTCTCCTCCTGACCTCAGAACAGACAGACAGCCACAAAACTGTGTGCTCTGTAATCTTCCATGCAGGAAGAGCAAGCATTCAAATATACACAGAAGTTGGTGTAGTTAACCTTCCAAGCTTTTCTACTGACCAAGGCAAAGCACCAATCAGAACACGGCCTCGCTATTTAAAAATAAACAGAAGCAATTTTGCCAGTGGCTATACAAACTGTCCTTAGACATACCTGAGTCCCCAGCCACTACCAGTGCCTCACAAAGATGACAGATAAAATGGTGTCTCTTAGGCAAACATCCTAAATCACGAAACAGGTTGTAGAAGATGACCCTTACAAACATCCTAAGAAACCGGTGCCTGTACAGTGTCTTGAACACGACAGGAAACAGATAGATGTCTATCGCAGTATTTATAAGGTCACTAGATAGATGATCCACGCGGCTAACTGGCAAAGAGAATATGAGGAATAAAAACAAAAACCCCACAAATGAAAAAAAAGGCACAGATGAATTTGTTTGATAATGTAAAAGCAGTCATTTAAAAAAAGATTGTCTACTCATGTACACGTGTGCTTCTTCTGTGTGAGCATATGCCATGTTTGTCCGGGTGCCTGTCAGCTCTTCTGCAGTTCCAGCAGGTGAGAACTGTCTGACATGGTAGTGAGAAACAGCCTCTGGTCCCCGGAGAAGCAGGAAGGATTCTAACTGCTGACCCATCTCACCAGCCTACAATAGCTATTTTTAGCTTCACTTTTTTTTTTTCATTTTATACCAGAAAAAGAATTTATTGTTACAGACCATGAGCTCTGACAGATTCTCACAAAATATGGATATATATCCTTTTTATTTGTTTCTTTTTGGAGACATGGTTTCACTATGTAGTTATGGCTGGCCTGGAACTCACTATGCAGACCAGGCTGGCCTCAAACTTAGAGATCCGCCTCCCAGGTGCTGGGATTAAAGGAATGTGCCCCTACACCCAGATATATTCTTTAATAATATGTTTTTAAAATAATGTCATCAATGTTCTCCTAAAGAATTTATAAACTTTTCTTCAAAGTTTTATATATAATTATCGAATATATTTCTATAGTATCATGACAATTTATTTCCCCTTCTATCTGTAACTGGTTGAATAATTCATATTAATGTGACATGTTATCTGCCCCCATGCTGAAGAAGTGTTATTAATCACCTTCTTCAAGAAATGCTTCCTCAATGTTGGTCAAGCAATGGTTCCTTATGCAACACAACACCAATGCTGAGCATGGGAACTGCAGGAGGGGAGAGCAGGAGCAACTCCATGACCTGGGCTGCTCTCAGTGGTAACTGCATAAACTGAGAGGCTTCTGACTGCCCACGTTCACTTCATCTTACGGCATAGACCACAGACTCAGAGGATACTTTCATATAGATACTGTAATCCATGCACAAGCCATAATGGTCAGACTCACTCCTGTGTCTATAGCCTCCCCAGTGTACAGAAAGCTACCAAATGCACCACCTCATTGAGGCCTCAGAGCACTGAATCTACCTTGTCATTCCCACTGGGAAATCCAAGTCCTAGAAAGGCCAAGTTATTTGTTTTACGTTGCTAACTACTCACCAACAGGAAGAGACTCCCAACTACAAACTTGGGGCTTCACCTGGGGAATGTGGAGTCAACTACCATATAGACAAGAAAACGGAACAAAACCCTGACTCATGGACTCGTGAACTGCTTCTCCTCACTGGGTGGGATCTGGCCCTTAGCTGGAACAACTACTATAGGCAGTGGATTGGAAGGAGAGGGAGTGCATTGAAAAAAATACTATAAAACATTCTAAATGGGAAGAATGTGGATTGAATGCTAAACAGTGCTGGAAGTACCTAATACACAGACTCGTGGTTATAAAACTCAGAGAGAACGTTGAAGTCACCTGTTCTTTTTCTATTTCACAAGAGAGGAAGATACAGTAATTGGCAGGTGTGGGGACTCCAGAAAAGCCAACTGCTCTCTGCTCACCAGTAGCAGAGCCTGGCTCTTCCAGTCCCACGCTCTGGTTCTATATTCTACTCAGAACCAAAACCCAGCCCAGATGTGAAAGAAAGAAAGAAAGAAAGAAAGAAAGAAAGAAAGAAGGAAGGAAGGAAGGAAGGAAGGAAGGAAGGAAGGAAGGAAGGAAGGAAGGAAGGAAGGAAGGAAGAAGCTGTCAGTGCTGGGCCAGCCACATCCTAAGTGTAAAAATGACTGATATTTTATATATCATTTAAAGCAACAGGGATTTTTTTCCTCCCTGTAAGAAAAGGAGTCAGAGTCTATATCTCAGGCTTTAGCACTAAGGTTAGGGAGGTCTAAAATACCGTGTTTTCTTCCTGTAGATACACGGGAGATGTGTCTATATGACTGAATGCTATTGCTGGATCAGATATGAGTACATTCAAAGACAGAATGGTTTCTGAAAAATGCCACCATTTCAATCACTGAGAGCGGAAACCCGAGAACTCATGACTACAGCATCCTGAAGAGATGCAGGTCCTTCAGCCTAGCAAGACTTCACCCCTCGGGCCCTCTGCTTCTCTCTTCAGAACCTTCAGAAACTCATTGTTATATTATTTTAGATGTGCTATTTATTCCCACTCTGAGATTTAAATACTAAGCAATAAAATATCTCTGAAGTTTAAAGGACAAGCCAATCTAAAAATGGATCAGCATATAAAGCCATTTGCTACTTGAACAATATTAATTTTTGCATTAAAAAAATAAATAATCTAACTAGACTTTATTGTACCTGTCAGTCTTTTAAAAGACTTCACCCCTCAATTGAAATCTAATGTGAAATTCTTTTTAAAGGCAGAGTATAAGAATCTCTATACAATATTGATTGCCATTCCATAGGGGAACAGGAAGCCACTCTGGTGACAGGAAGCGCCTGACAATAAAGTTTCCTTTCTTATTCGAAGGATCTCACTTCCACCTTAACTGGGACTGATCTCCACAGCAGGAGTCCATGTTAGCTGGGGGGATTCCAGCCTGTGCGTTCTCATCAGTCTGAGGAAGAGGACGGTTTTTTCCAGAGATGAAGGGCTGCTTGAATCCTGAAGTGTAGTCTGGACTCCAAGGAGTAATCTTTGTAGTTGTTTCTGAAGATAAGGAAGAATAAAAAGATCCAGTCAGCATTTCTCTGGCTAGCAGGGCACTACCACCCTCGTCTGCCGCCCTCTGATCTCCTATTTACTTTCTAACTTCAAGAAGTGTATCAGCAGAGCTGAGTCAAAAGCAGACTCTTTCTGTGGGGCAAAGTGAATGGCAAGTCTGCATTCTGGGTTTCTAGAAGCTTCCCCAGTGGTGATTTAAAAGGTCATACTTTTGAGTTGCAATATCCTAACTACAAACCACTACTATAACAAGGTCATAACATCATGGCATATTTTGTTAAGTATTGCTGAGTGGGTCAACTTCTATTGTTAGAGAAAAATGTTGAGGTAGGTTCATATAACACAATGATCATAAACAATCCATTATTCAACAGAAGAAAAGTACTTCAGAATCCACATGAAGGGGGCTGGAGAGATGGCTCAGAGGTTAAGAGCACTGCCTGCTCTTCCAAAGGTCCTGAGTTCAATTCCCAGCAACCACATGGTGGCTCACAACCATCTGTAATGAGGTCTGGTGCCCTCTTCTGGCCTGCAGGCATATATACAAGACAATATTGTGTATAATAAATAAATAAATATTTTTTAAAAAAAAGAATCCACATGAAGCTACTCTAACAAAGACAGCAGGGCTGCCCTGTGACCCCCTAAACCATTTCTTCCGGTTCTCATGCAAGTGACCAGTGGTTTTGTCACTAATGACTCAAATTAGCACAGTGCCAGAAGGGGCCACGAGAAGGCAAGGGGTGAACGGAGAATCTGGGGGCAATCCCCAGAACCATGGAAAAGAAAAGCAGGGCAAACAAAATCCAAAAATCACTTGAAAACCTGACTATAATGGTTTAAATGAAAATGACCCCATAGGCTCAGAGGGAATAGCACTGATAGGATGTGTGGCCTTGGTGGACGAAGTGTGTCACTGTGATTTCAAAATGCTCAAGCTAGGCCCAGTGTCTCTCTTCCTGCTGCTGGCAGACTCCGATACAGAGCCCTCAAGCTTCTTCTGCAGGACCAGGTCCACCTGTGTGCCACCATGCTTCTGGCCATGACAATAATGGTCTAAATCTCTGAACTATAAGCCGGCCCTAATCAAATGTTTTCCTTTATAAGAGTTGCTGTGGTCATGATCTCTTCACAGCAATGATTTAGATCATTCATGTTGCTAAAATTGGTAGGAACTGGCTTCAATTTAGGCCTCCCGATTTCAAGCCCTGCCTTGGCAGACAAGGCAGCTGATGCCTCCTTTGAAGTAGTGTTTCTATCTTTTTTGAAAACACACTTTCTTCTTAACTTTGATAAGAGTTAGTATGATGTATTGTTCACAGATTAAAAAGAACCTCATACTAAGATTTACCTAAGAACAACTGAGTATTCTCTCGATTTCTGGCCGCTTTGAAAAGCCCATGCTGTGGAGAGGAACTGAGACAGAGATGGTCCTGAGATCACGGGGAAGTGTTTATGTTTGCCCTATAGGTACTGTCTGGGTCCGTGGTGGCTTTGAGTGCTTTTCAGAGGTGAAGAAATGTCTTTCTGTGTCACCTGCTGCTCCATTTACACAAAGTAGTGCTGACTATGTGCCAACTGGGAGTACCTGAAGTATCAGCATGCACAGTGCAGTGTCCCCATAGCTTCCTCTGAGGATGCACAGGGCAGAAACACCATAACTTCCTCTGGGGATGCACAGGGCAGAGTACCCATAGCTTCCTCTGAGGATGCACAGGGCAGAAACACCATAACTTCCTCTGGGGATGCACAGGGCAGAGTACCCATAGCTTCCTCTGGGGATGCACAGTGTGGTCCCCATAGCTTCCTCCGGGGATGCACAGGGCAGAGTACCCATAGCTTCTTCTGGGGATGCACAGTGTGGTCCCCATAGCTTCCTCCGGGGATGCACAGGGCAGAGTACCCATAGCTTCTTCTGGGGATGCACAGTGTGGTCCCCATAGCTTCCTCCGGGGATGCACAGGGCAGAGTACCCATAGCTTCTTCTGGGGATGCACAGTGTGGTCCCCATAGCTTCCTCCGGGGATGCACAGGGCAGAGTACCCATAGCTTCTTCTGGGGATGCACAGTGTGGTCCCCATAGCTTCCTCCGGGGATGCACAGGGCAGAGTACCCATAGCTTCTTCTGGGGATGCACAGTGTGGTCCCCATAGCTTCCTCCGGGGATGCACAGGGCAGAGTTACCATAGCTTCTTCTGGGGATGCACAGTGTGGTCCCCATAGCTTCCTCCGGGGATGCACAGGGCAGAGTACCCATAGCTTCTTCTGGGGATGCACAGTGTGGTCCCCATAGCTTTCTCTGAGGATGCACAGGGCAGAAACCCCATAGCTTCCTCTGGGGATGCACAGTGTGGTCCCCATAGCTTCCTCTGGGGATGCACAGGACAGAGTAACCATAGCTTCCTCCAGGGACGCACAGACACCACAGCTGAAGCATTAGCTGTCCTCATGGCCAACAAGTTACCTTTAAAAGTGGCTTCTTCCTACACTGTTCGTTTCTCTTTTAGGAGAAACTTGGGGGCACCCTGCCCCTAAAGGCTTCTTCCTCCTGCTGTACTCTATTCATGGCAAACATCCCTGACCTTACAATAGCAGAGCTGCTGACTCCACTCCTCTCCTGTCTCCCTATCAAGGTCACACGTGACCGCTCTCTGTTATGTTGCTCCACGTCTTGGCAGCTGCCCTCATTAGCAACCATGCTCAATAGTTTCACGTTTTTGGCTTTCATATTTGAATGCTTCTTAGCTGCTAACTAGCTCTAGGAATTCCGAGATTTCATCATTATTATTGGATATGGACATGCTGTACTGGCGAGGAAGGCATGCCGCAGAACCTGTGAGGAGGTCAGAGGACAACTCTATGGATTTGGTTCTTTCCCCTGGTTGGTTCTTTAGGGAGGTTCTGAGAATAGAACTCAGGTCTTGACTCTGTGCCATGTGTTGCACTTAACTGTTTTGCACATCCTTGAGTAAACCTTGGCATGTAGAAAATGAACAACAATTTACCACCCTCTTAGTCTTATCCCGGCCCTTGTTCCAGGCACTGGTCAAGACCTCTATCGCCTGCCCTGCGGTCTAACGACCTCAGGAATGACAGCTTTGACCAGCATGCTCTCTGGGCTGGGGACTTTGGTTTGTATCCATGTGGTCCTGACTTTAGCACTGAACACACCTGCACATCTCACTGCCAGCTCACCCTCTCCATGTGGATATCTGGCAGCCACCTCCAAGTACGATAGCCCTGAGAGGTATATCTCTGTGCAAAAACTCATTGCTCTGAGTGTTTGCCAGTTGGGAAAAAGCATCACTGTCCATCCACCTGCTCAGCAAACTGCAGCCACATCCTGTGCACCACTTATCTTCTACACTGCGAGTACTTACAATATATTAAGTGCAGTCAATGGGCACCTTACACTCTAAAATCAGTACTCATACCTACTGCCTGGCCATTTGCAGTAGAAGAGCAGAAGCTGAAGCTGGCCAGCTGGGTGCACACATAACATCTCTAGGTAGCCAGAGTCATGGACCGAGTGGCTCCAAACAGCACAACTACAGCGAAAGCCCATGCTCAAAACAAACAAACCACATTAGCAAAAATACTCATGCTAACTTGCATTAGCTCACTAGCTTTATGGAGCACAATGGCACTCACTGCGGCTGCACTGGCACTGGTGCCTCCCCCTCCACGTCACCAGGACAAGTTACCGTCAATACCCACCTTGCAGTTTCTAGGGTCTTGATGGCCTTGTCAATGTCCCCTTGGCTTTTATACAAACACGCCAGCTCAAACAGAGTGAATGGCACCAGATAGTGGTCGTACTTCAGTAGTTTCTCACTAACGAAGCAAATGAGAATCAATTAAGTCTTAACAGAACACAAAAAGTACCATTCGGAACACGTATCATTCTTCTTGAATTCCCAGACAATACTGAGACTATGACAGAGGAAGGCTGCGGTCACAGCTATGGTACTGAACACCCTAGGGAATGAAGTATGCTTCCATACTAAATCGTTAGTTCCTTAACGTACAGCCAGCATTGGTGCAGTACCGGCTCTCAGACAGATCAATACACACAGACCTTCGAGATGACCCTCGAGAAGACGAGATCAGCTTTGCGAGCATGTGGCTCTAAAGTTAGTAATAAGGAAGTCTCCTTAGTTTTGTGTTTAACCAGGCATCAATTTCCTTCATACGTAAGGCTTAGAATTCTTCAAAACATCAATGACTACATGGCTGGCAGTTCCGTTTCAGCATCATTTTGAAAACTAGAAATTCAGGAAAAAGATTAAGTAACAAACAGTCTTTTAAATCTAGAGCAAATTGTTTCTCTAGTTCTAACTGCAATGGATTTTTCATTTTTGGTGGTGGATAAGTACATAAAAATATATTGACAATTAAAGCATAAAATCCAGTGCAAAACCCCACAGCTACCATTCTGGATGGCTACTCTGTTCACTGATTTGTATAGTGTTTGTGCCAGGCTAACTTTAGTGTGTAATATTTATTTTTATTTGTAACTTTTTAAGTAAAGTTTAAAATAAATTAAACATAATGACAATAATCTATAGCTCAGCTTGCCAGGCTATAGCCCAAACTACTCTCAGATGCCAAGGAGAAGTAAGAGCAAGCCAGGAAGACTAGTTGTGCTGAACCTGCCCTGGGGTCTGCAGAGAGACCTGAGACTTTGAGTCTCAATGGCCAGGCAGGAGATGAGGCCCTAGACCATAGAAAGCAATGGCTGGAGCGGCACACCTTAAGCTTGGAATGTTGAATCTGTCCTTTGGAGAAAGCAGATTAGAAGAAACCCACTCACTGGCAAAGGACAAGACAGAGTCGATGGCCTCCTTTTGCCAGCAATTTTGACATGAAGAAAAAACAAAACACATCTCTTTGGAAATTAACAACACATAGGCCAGTCCTCACAGAAATTTGCAATTCAGTTTTACACTGCTCAAGAGGTCCAAACACCGCTAAACATGATATTAACACGATGGTGGCTTTGGTAGAAGCCAAAGTAAGTGGTATAGGAAAACTCTTCCACAACTTAACCCCACTGAAGGGGATTTCACAATCCAAACCCTGGAAAGCACAGGAGCAAATGCCTCCCTGTGAGAGGCAATGAAACAAAGCAGGCAGCACACACGGTCACTGTTGTTGCCAGTAAACTAGAACTGTGTATATAGTTTCCTAGTGTTCACCAAATATAGTATACGACCTTATTTGGGAACTAGAAAATGTGTCCTACATTCTCACAAATACTGTCATGAGGGAGGACACTGTGTGGCCTCCATCTTCATGGTGTGCAGTGTTTTCAAAAACACTGAGCCAATGTTTAAAAATCAGGAGATCTGACTGGGCAGTGGTGGTGCACGCCTTTAATCCCAGCACTTGAGAGGCAGAGGCAGAAGGGAGTTCTGTGAGTTCAAGACCAGCCTGGTCTACAAGAGCTAGTTCCAGGACAGGCTCCAAAGCTACAGAGAAACCCTGTCTCGGAAAAACAAACAACAAAAATCAGGAGATCTGACTTTAGATGCAGCTTCCACTTCTTTCTGTAGGGACCACAGTTGCTGGGCCCACACTGTGCAAAGTGAAGCGTGACATAGTCACAGTCTTTGGAGAAAACAGGGGTTCCCAGTTCCCCCCAAGCATTCAGCCTTGCTCGGACTCTCACCAGGTCAGCACTGTCATTGCTAGAAAGAAAGATCAGTGTATATGCAAGAAATGGGTCATCAGCCAGGCGGTGGTGGCGCACGCCTTTAATCCCAGCACTCGGGAGGCAGAGGCAGGCAGATCTCTGAGAGTTCGAGGCCAGCCTGGTCTACAAAAGCTAGTTCCAGGACAGGATCCAAAAGCTACAGAGAAACCCTGTCTCGAAAAACCAAAAAAAAAAAAAAAAAAAAAAAAAAGAAAAGAAAAAAAGAAAGAAATGGGTCATCTTTAAACAGTGAGTGGAAATACATAAAGCCATATTCCATACCATAGCTTGGCACATCACTTTGCCTCCGAGACCCCTGAAGCCACAACTTGAACCCAGGCTGGCTCTTACCTTTCCACAATGTGGTTGAAACACAACTCAGCTTGCAAGGGTCGCTCTAAGTTCTTGAGGCAGCATCCCTTCAGTAATTTTACCAAGCACTCATCATCCACAGAGTCAGCAGAGTCTTAAAACAACAAGAAGAAACAACAGGGGGAAGAGTTCATTGTTTTCTGTGGTGCCTGGTATGAATGCTAGCTAGTGCCTCATCTATATGAGGAGAACACCCTGAGCTGCCTTGCCAACACAAAAATACTTGCCAGAAATCCTAATTGAGAAGAAAACTAAGTGATGTTGGGCTTTAGGGGGAACCATTTAATAATAAGCTTACTAACCTACTACATAAAACAATGGAAACGCTTGTTCAGAAGAACACTGAGCTTACACATTCTACGTCATTCATCTAGGGAGACTGCACAGGCAGATTTTCAGGTGGTCATAGTAAATTCTGTGCCCTTAGCTACAACAGGAAATCTGATCTCTAAATAAAGAATGAGCTTCATTAATTCTCTCAGAGGTAAAGGAGGAGGAAGCAGGCTGTCTCCTCCTGTTGTTTTGGCTTCTAACTGCGCTGGCGTCCTCGCAGGAGAGGGTAGCACCTCCATATGGAGAAGCAGATGGCCTCCCACCCGTTCAAAATGCAGGAAGCAGAAACCTCTCTTCCAGATCATTATGTTTACAACCTAGCAATTCTCCCAGGTTATGTTCTTTCGGGGAAGAATTATGCCACGAAATGGTTCTGAAATACAGGAAAAGGCACCTAAAGTCGCCACAAACGGCCATGCTCCGGGAAAATGTCAAGGGTTTCCTTTTCCTATCCAGGCCCCTGTCTTCTCCAGCGCAGTCTGGAGATGTGTCAAGCAGAGCGAGCCACATGGTGTCGTGGCTATCTGTCAAAGGTAGCCACGCCACGTGTTCTGTTCGTGAAGATTTTTCTGCTTTCTTCTTTTGCAAGTGACAGGCAAAGAAGTCAAAGACAGACTGCTAATTTACACGTTTCTGCCTGTGGCAGCAGTGTGAGGGGCGGCAAGGGGAGAGGACTGGATCCTGGGAGTCTCCATGCTGCAGCCGCACGCTTTGGGTTCGAGTCTCAGACCCCGTCGGTGACACGTGCTGGTGCTTCAGTTGGTGAACCCTCACCTATGGGAAGCAACAGTGCTACTCACCCGACTGGAAGGGGCTCACTTCACTTCTAAGTGTTAAACACACAAGATTCACCTTGAACTGTCAAGTGCTAATATGTCATGGGCCACACACTCGGAAAACCACGATACCAACACCTCTGACCTTTCCTACTACGGACTTGGTACCCCCTTACCTTACATCCTCCCACTCGTAATCCACGCTTCTATCAGGGAGTCAGACCCAAGCCCAAAGTCGGGTCCGCACTGGCTGCTACCTTTCCGTCTCATTTCTGTGCCTTCTATATTGAATTCTGAGAAGCAGTTTTCTAATGTTCTGACAACTTCTGCTTGCTCAATGAATAATGTTTGAGGTGGCACAGACCATGAGTACTAAAAACCCAGTACGGCACTCTGTGGAGATCTTAAGTTAGCAGTGTGACAGGGCTTCATATGCCACCTCTTCCACAAACTCAGAAGCAAAGCCCAGTTCCCCTGACCACAGTACATTATCACATGATCACTCCCCGTCCTGACCTGCACTCGTACACAAGAAGAAGGGCTGAACTGGAGATAAGGCTGCTGAGACGCCCTGTGGGTGAAGACTCTAAGTCTGACGGCCTGAGTTCGATCCCAAGGACCCACATGGTGGGAGGACAGTACCAGTGCCCACAAACTCTCCTCACACACACACACACACACACACACACACACACATACACACACATACACACACACACACACAAAAATAGGGTTTGAGACGTTTTTGTTTGTTTGTTTGTTTAAATCACGGGAGCAATGCCCATGCCCACAGGTGGCACAGCAAGGCTGCCGATGTCCTAAATGCGGGCAGGCTACGAAAGACAGACATCTGAAAACTACAAAAATATCCACACTGAGCATCACAGAAACTCACTGCAGCACAGAGAGGGAAACACAGGAACTGGCCGAAACGGGAAAAGCGGCCAGGCAGTCGCACCTTCCTTTATGTAGCTGATTCTGTTTGCTATTAATGTCACCACACAGATTAATTTAATGACAAAGTGGATCTGCTGCCGACTTCTGGCTACGTGATGAATTTGGTTGGAATCCCAAGGAAAACAGTACAAAACTTACTGCCACGTGCCGCCGCTAAGCATGTCACCACTTGCTCTCGCATCTAGCTGTACCCTTTGTGTGGACGACAACCTTTACGTACCACAGTCAGGCCCTACAAAAGGCCAATAGTGCCTGCTACCCTCTGCCCTTTAACTGCAACTGACAGATAGGAAACCAGAACCATATCTGGTATGGTATCTAATAATGGGCAGGGGTAGAAGCCCCCACAACCTCAGGCTTGGAACGTCACTCAATTTTCCAATCAAGATCCCCACACTCACTCTGAAGAATGGAACTTTAATTAACCGAGAGTCAGAAGTTTGAGGGCAAGGAAGATAATGTCCCCTCAAAACCATGATAAACCTAATGTGTATTAAGAGAGAGGTGACCCTGACAATAAACCAATTCTTTCGCCCGGAGGAGAAACAGAGGACAGGACTGTCGGCTGCTATTTAATTTTGTTTTATGCATGAGTGCTTTGCTTGCATATATGTCTGTGTATGGTATCCATGGAGTCCAAAAGAGGGCACAGACTATATTGGGTGTCTGAACATAACATGATGAACCACTCAAAACACAGGACAGTGGCATTACAGCATACTGAGACCTAACTGTCACCGAGCCAGCGTTGAGAGGTAAGAACTTCAAGAGGGTGGCAATGCGTGCTGTGTGCCTCAGTCTGCCATGCGACAAGGCAGCAAGAAGGTCCTCATCAGCTGTAGCACCTGGATCCTACAGCCCTTAGGCTCCAGACCTGTGGGAAACACACTGGTTTTCCTTCATATATCACCCAGCCTCTGGTATTCTGTTAGAGCAGCAGAAAAAGAAAAGCAGGTCCTTAAAAACAAAAACTTTAAACTGGCCCACAATGGCTATGCCATAAAAGTGGAATCACATCCTACATGGTCTCTTGTGACAGACACCCATTCTTTGGTGCATCAGGAAGTGCCATCCTCACTGCATCTTGATGAGAAGCACCCAGACAGCAGAAGCTCAAGCCTTGCTCTTGAGATGCACACAGAACGACATGGGCAGATATGCCCCAGGGAGAGACCAGAGAGGCATCAGAGCCAAGACAAAGACCTTGCACACTTACTCTGAGCTTGCAGAGCCGCCTCAGCCTTCTCCACAGTCACCAAGAGGTTTTCAGAAAGGTCCTTCCTTTTGGCTACTATTGAAAAGCCATTCCAGACGTACATCATTTCCTAAGGAGGAAGGATGGAAAACCACACGTGAGGTGTCTGCTAAGGACTTCAGTATGACGGCTGCGATCTTGTTCTACTTTCCTTCATCTGGAATTCAGTGACATAAGTTCCCCTGGTTTATTAATATATATATATATATATATATATATATATATATGCCTTTTGTCTTTCACGCTCTGAGGTAAGCAAACATATACCTTATACTCATTCATTCAACAAGCACACTAAGTATCTACTAGCGTACAATCCTTTGGAGAGAACAGAGATACAGAAGTAAAATAATATTTTAAACTGACACTATAAACAATTTTGTTTAATGTAAACTTTTGTTGTTACTTTTAAGTAAAGGGAAATATTTTAAAATGTCTGCTAATTGTTTACATAAAGTGTTTCCAAGCATATCACTAGAAATGATCATTGGAATATTTATTTTACTGGGCTCAGGTTCTTTTCTATCATTAAAAACATGTGTCGGCCCAGTATTGCGATCCAATATGCAGGAAACACGTTTGTTTAAAGGCCATATGGCTGAATGACAGCTCCTGAAATGTAAACTAATGGCTTCTCGTTGCAGATTATGTTTAATGGGCTAACAGATGAGAATTTTTTTTGGATCAAAAGCAAATGTGTTTTTGCTTGAAAATATTTTTCTAATGTCCAGATAGTGCAGTTCATATTTTGAAGGGTATACAATGAGCATGAATTTTTAAAATACAACAGATACTGTTTGAGAATCTTCTGAGCCAGAGCCGTCATGGAAATGAGGCATCAAATGATGGTGTCACAGGCTTGCTTTACGGCACTGCAAGCTAGGGGCACAATTCAGGAATGACATTTTTAAACTGATGATTTAAATTTCTTTATGAGTGTAGTATTTATCCAAGGGAGAAGCAAGCTTGGTTTGAAATTTTTATGAAAAACAGGCTGTGGCAACATCCCTCGGTATGAACAATTCTAGTGAATTCTTTGTCATTGTATACCCACCAACCACCAGTGATTCAAAGCATGACAGAGCCTCATACACACCAGGGTCTAAGTACTAAGGTAGACAAAGAGAGATAATGGTCAAGTAAGGTTTCTGGAAAGTTCTCTGACACAGAATCTCCCAGTGCAAACCACTTGATAGCAATGAATGTGGAACAGGACTAAAGCTAATCAAGGCAACATTAGGCACCAACCGGGAGAGGGGTTTGCGGTCTCTGTGTTTAGCACAGTGATCTTGTTATTGTCTGTGCTCAAGACACAATAGGCCCATCATATTCCTACCTCATCCTGTCGGGCTAATCACAGGGTTCTGTGGGAAACACCCGGTCTGAGTGCTACCAGCTGCAGGCTAGCGCCTGTCTGACCCCTGTCAGGGGCTGCATTCTTGTTCCTCTTTAAAATACACAAAGAACTTCTGGGAGTCAGCAACAAAACAAAAATCACCCAATGAAACAAGAATGATACGAACAATGGAGAAAAAAATTAAAAAATGAATGAGCAGAGGAAGACACTGCAAAGTGTTAATATAGAAATGCAAGTTACAAAGATGTAGTATCAGCCGTTTGAATTGATACAGTACGGGGGTAGAAAGTTCATGTTATCTCCTCTACCCAAACATTAACATTAGCCTTCAGCTAAGAATCCCAGGTCTTTGAAAACATTCCCAGAGAATGACATGTGCATGTCAATGATGTTCATTGCAGCGATGCCTATGACAGTAAAAAACTGGAAAACGGCACATAACTCTCAAAGGAGAATGATTAAATAATCCAAGGTACAGAGGTCTCACAGAACCAGCCCCAGAGGAGGGCCCCCCTGCAGTAGAACATGCTAGCCCGCTAGCCCGAAGGGGTTCCTCTCTGGTGGGAGAGCCAAGCCTACGAAAGGCTGTACCGCAAAAGGGCGTGGCACACACCACAGCCATGAGTCTTCCTTGTTTACAATCCCATATCACAATGGCAAAGCTTTGCTTCACATGTAGTCCAGGGTGGTCGGGCATTCCCTGTGCAGCTCAAACTGGCCTCAAATCTGCAGCAACTCTCTGGCCTCGGCCGCCCAAGTGCTAAGATTACAGGTATGAGTCATCCCGCCCAGAATAAACAAACTCCAGATCAAACAAACTATATTCTTGGAAAATTATTCTCTAAAGGCTTTCTTTTACCCTTTTACATATCTATTAGAAAATACAAAACTGAATTTGTGGTTTGTTTTGTAATTCAGTTTCACTTCAGTGAAGCCGTGTTCTCCCTTTAGGCCTGAACGTCCTCATCTGAAACATGGAACTGAGACCATATTCTTACCTTTATGATGAAAGTCAAATGACGTGACTTTTTTGGATTGCCTTTATCACAATGTCTAGAACATATGAACTGATCAAAAGGCAACAGGTAAAATTTTCAATGTTTTAAAATTACTTTATATATGAATAGAAAAATACACAATAGTTCTATAAGCTTCCCATCCAAAGCTAAGTACATTCCTTGATGCTCTCAATAGTGACTTTATCTCTAGCATGGAGACAGTGAATAGAAGCAGATACCAGGGCAGGTAAGACGAGCTTCCCCGGGGCTCCTGAAGAGGGTGAGTACCGGCGTGCCTTCCTCACAGCGAACTTCTCGGTTGGGAGAGATTTCCCGGCGATCCTCTGCTTCAAGCCGTCTACCTGTCTGTGGAGAGACCATGCAGAGGGCAATGAGCACACATCATTCACAACTGGGCTTTACACACACACACACACACACATCATAGGCCAGTAGCAGCCGGGAACCTGTTCCAAACGCACATTACCGGGCGTTTCCCACGAACCGGCAGTCCTAAGGTTGGGACCAGCAATCTCCATGAGGACACACATTCAGGTAATACGGGATACACAATTCTGGGAGAGCCAGTAACTCACATATTTCCTTCCAGTCAACTTAGCTGGTGCCCTACAGGTGTCAAACACAGTCCAGGCTAATCTAGGCATAAAATTGTCTATTTCCATAAATATGCAAAAAGAGAAGGGAAGAGGCTGTGGGATGGTCTTTCTGTGTGCTGTATTTGTCTTGCTATCATTGGTTGATAAGTAAAGCTGATTTGGCCTAAAGCCAGGGATAATATAGCTGGTGGGAAAGTCAGACTGAGTACAGGAAAAAGGGTGGAGAGAGAGAGACACGCCAGCTGCTGAGGAAGCAAGACAGGTTGAACAATGAGGTAACACCATGGCCACGTGGCAATATATAAACTAATAGAAATGGATTAATTTAAATGTAAGAGCTAGTGAGCAATAAGACTGAGCCATCAGCCAAGCACTTATAAGTAATATTAAGCCTCAGAGTGGTTATTTGGGAACTGGAGGGCAGGAGAGAAACCTCTGATTACATAATGGTGTACCAACGTGAAGCTCTCAAATTTCCATAAGGCCTGAAAAAGCTTTAAAAGGGGCTTCTAAATACACAGTAATGGAGCTAAAAACAGCTTCCTAGTTATGTCTCTCACGAGGGCGACAGTACAGAGATGCCACAACATGCAGGCTTGAGCACAGTGTGGCAGATTCCTGAAAGCTCAGCAACAGTTGCGTGGTGGATTTAGCATTTGCTTATAGAGACGAAAAAGTCTAAAAGATCCACAATAAAAGCAGTCCAGATGGAAAAACCTTTAAACAGGTTTCAGTGTGTTTTACAATGTGTGTAGGCTTAAGAAAGAAAATGGATATAAGTAGTTGTAGAAATAAATACAATTGTTTTAAAAAACAAAAGTCTTTAAAGAGACAGTAAAAATAATATAAAAGAAAAAGTCATATAAATATGGGAAATACACAGGGAGTCTGGAGCCTATGTGTTATTGTGTTGATTTTGAATTTTTTGATAGCTGATGGACAAGAGATAGCTGTTGAGAGACATGTGATTGAAAGAGTGACTAATAAAAAAACCAACATAAATATTTTATAAACGCCTTGGTTTTAAAACAAAAGTAAAAAATATATTTGTAAAATGGAACTTAAAAGATGCATTGCTTTGGAGAAGTTGTTTTGTTTCCACAGGAAACGAGAGGCTATGGATACATTACAGATTAAGATGGACCAGCTGTGATCAAGACCGCCTGACCTTGTCAGGTGAAATCTATCAACAAAGATTATGACTGGTCCTCCCAGGACTTAGCCATTATCTCAAATTTTCTCAGGAACCCTAATGATACTTTGTTCACAGACAGCAGGAAGCAGTTTAGAGACACTGATGTCCACATTCCCCAGAGTTGGGTGTATGGATGGTCTTTGGTTATTTGGTGGGTTATGTACATTTGTTATATTTAAGGGACTATAGGAAGGTATAATAAAATAAATTTAAAGCTAATTTTGTTACAGAGTATGTATGTTTCTATTCTTGTTTAAATTATTTTTGTATATTATTGCAAATTTAAGGTTATTTTTGTTATACAGTATATCTGTTTCTACTTCTGTTTAAGGTATTTTTATATATTGATACAAATATAAGGTTACTGTCCTTATGCTGCATATATGTTTTCTATTTTTGCTTAAGGTATTACCTATACAACTCATACCTATAAAACTTGTTTAATTATGCAATATGAAGTTTTAGTCCTTAAAAGCTATTCTGGCTAATAAAGAAATATAGGCTAATAGTGGCCCATATCTATCAAATTTATAGTTATGTTAGATTTTCAAGGTAATACAGAGAAATAGTTCAGATAGGTAATCTTCAAACACTTCAAAGACCTATGGAATATGGCATTCATATGTCTTAAAAACTTAGACTTTTATCGACAGTTAGACACATCTGATCCTGGCACCACCAATTATTTTAGGGCCTCAAAAATGTTCTTTATGGAGTTTTCTTTCAATGTGGCAATACTAGCCATTTGGGCAAGAAGTTACTCTTTCCTGGACTGCTTGATAATATGTTGTATAAACTGGACATGCAGGACCCACAGGAAAATGACCACCACTTCAGAGTTCCTGCTTCACAGAAGAAACTGCCAGGCATTCTGCAGGACACAGAGGAAAGTGACTGACGAGCTGCCAATATAGACAGGGCAGCCTTTCAAACTTCCTGCTTCATTGAAAAGCCTGCCAAATGCTATGGGCCTGTAGGCTGAAAATGGATGCCCCAATGCAGCAAAAACATTTGGGTGACTGTCCAGGCAGTCAGATATCTCTGTTATTTCTAGAGTTTTGGAAGTTACTTGCAATGCATTTCCTGTTTACTCAGGTAATATTATATCCTTCCGGGGTCTTTGATGGAGTTGAAGACTAGACAGTTATAACTGTTTTCCTTAGTTATGATAAAAGATAAATTAGATATGAAACTTTAGACTTACAAAGATAGAATAGATAATAGAGTATTTTCTTTAATTTTGCCAATGCAAACAGACTAAATATTGTAACTGTGATTCTTAATACTTGTTTTTGTTGTATACAATTTTACTATGTTAAAGTTAAAACCTTCCTTTTCAATTAGACAGAAGGGGGAAATGCTGTAGGATGGGCTTTCTGTATGCTGTGAATATGTTTTGCCCCCATTGGTTGGTAAATAGAGCTGATTTGGCCTATAGCCAGGAAGAACATAGCAAGGTGGGAAAGCCAAACTATACAGGGAAAAGAAGAGTGGAGGAGAGAGAGATGCCAGTCAGCTGACAAGGAAGCAAGCTATGTAAATAATGAGGTAATGCATGTGGCAATATATTAATAGAAATGGGCTAATTTAAATGTAAGAGCTAGCTAGTAATAAGTCTGGGTCATTGGCCAAGCATTTATAAGTAATATTAAGCCTCAGAGTGGTTATTCGAAAACTGGCGGGCAGAAAAGAAACCTCCAATTACAGGAACCATGTAAATTGGTACATTTCCTGTTTCTCTCTGCAGATATTGCACAGATCTATAACATAATGTATCCCAGAAGACAACCATCCACTTATGCATATTAGATAGCTAACCAAACATAGGTAATTTTGTAAATAATCATTTTAGGATTTACTATTTTCAAAAGTCTAAGAAATGTGGACTGGGAGATGATTCAGTAAGAATACTGGCAGTGCAAGCATGAAGAACTGAGTTCAAATCCTCGGAACCCAGGTTGGTTCCCTGGAGACAGCAGACACAAGGGGCCCCAGGATTTGCTGACCAAGAGCCTGGCTCCAGATTCAGTGAGACCCTGGAGAGAATAAGGGAGTGGAGTGAACTCCTAACAGCATCCTCTGTCCTCTGCACATGTCTGGGTATGCACACACACTCCTATACATGATGCACACAGACACACTGCCCGCCCCCAAATCCAAGCACATGAGAATGAAACTAGGATAGACAGAGACTACATGCTCCTGGAAGAGACTATGTTTGCAGGGTCTCTTTGTTATGCATAATTTTATGAGTGCATAAACAAGGGAAAGGATTCAAGAAAATATCCGGTTACATCACTGAAAGAATCAAGCGAGGAGGAAGAAAACCTTGGTGTGAAAGAGCAGGAGCAAACTCCTGACAACTAAACTCTAGCTCTAGAAAACAAGTACAAGGCATGTTTCCATGATTCCCAGACGTGCAAACACATCTGAAAATCATGCTAAAGAATGACAGGCTGGCTCTCAGCTAAGTGTATTCTTCTAAGTGCGGCCACATCGGTGAGTAGACAAATTAGAAGCTAGGGGAGTAGAGAGTGAGGGAAGAAGTCAGATGTGTCTAACCCCCCAGGGTCCCTGTGACAGAAACAGCGTTGTGCTCACCTGAACAGAGCCACCACGTTCTCATTGGTCACTGCCACCTCCTCCTCCGGAAGCATGCTCAGAATGGCAGCTTTCAAGAACACATATGTTGCCTTGAGGAAACAAAGACAAGGGCTCACTGGAGAACATGAGATTTTAGCTTGCACACAGAAGTGACCTAGAACCCTCCCACACGTCACATTTAAAAGTGTCAGGTGAGCCGTCTGTTTCAACAGAGTCCCAGCACTAAGAGGGGTGAGTAGATATGAGGCTCCCATGTCTAACCAGAAGCTATTTGCAGTTGATGCTACTGGGAAAGGGGAGCCCAGCTTCCACAATGGAGTGTCACTGGGTACACTGACTAAACTCCCAGAGCAGGACGCAGCTCCATGCGAGGAGGAGCTGGCCAACATAAAACGAGCTCCATGTTTTTGGTTTTTGTTTAGTTAGTTTTATTGTGTGTGTGTGTGTGTGTGTGTGTGTGTGTGTGTGTGTGTGATTGATTGATTGATGTTTGGTTTGTTCTGAGACTTTTGGTTTATTTATTCTTTGTGGGTGGTTTGATTTTCATTTTTGTAATTTAAGGTTTTTTTTTTTTTTAAGAAAGGGAGAGAACGTAAGTTGGGTAGGTAGGGAGGATCTGGGAGGAGTTAGGGAAGGGAACGTGATAAAAGTACGCTGTATAAACAAAATATTTAATTTAAAAAATGAAACAGACACAGGCTTTAGCTCTCTGCTCAGACTGAAGTGCTGAAGCGCTCTGATGAAGCAGGCATGTCTATCATCCCAGCACTTGGGAAGCTTAGGCAGGAGGTTGCCACAAGTTTAAGGTCAACCTGGGATTCACAGTGAGCTCCAGGCTAGCCTTGGCTACAAAGGGAAATTCTGTCTCAAAAAAAGTAGGGGGAAAAACAGGTGCTCAAATACATCTGCACGGTTTTCAAAACTGATTAAAAAATATCACTAACTATTAAAAATGACAGTAAGTTTTCAGTGGTCATTTTCCTATGACAGGAATGGGCCATCATGGGTAGGAAAGTGGGCAGAACAAACAAAAATCATCATCTCTTCCTCTCAACTTCTCAAAAATGGCTCATAGCTAACTAATTATCACCAAAAACTTGGTCAGGGCACTGGAAGTCTACAAAGATCTCCAAGATCACAATACTGATATGGGAGATTGTAAACCCAGATGCCGTTTATCCTGGCAGTAAAACGCCTCTGCTGGACAGCACTTTGGGGGACGTTTTACGCCTGGAGTGCTGAGGATAGCACCTCGATTCTGTACTAGCTAATCACCGCCACCCCCTCTTCCTGCAGGTCTCTAAACTGAGCTAAGTATCCACACCAGTGTCTTGAAAAATCTATCTTAAACGACAAACACCATAGCCAAGGAGCAGCAGAAAAGGCGGACCGCAGTAGGACTTTACCTTGGACCATTTACTCTCTTTGCAGAGTAGGTCTGAATAATAATACGCCTGCATCCAATTCTGCTGGTATATGTAAATCCACATTAATTCCCAGTAACAGAGATGGTGAAACTGTCTCCACTCTTCTTGAACTGAAATGCATTTTCGAAACGTCTCTTGAGCCTATGAGTCAATTGCATAAAGCTGATCATTCAGACATTAGACAAGGAGATAATAACCTAATGGCAAAATACATAAAACACTGTGTACAGAGAGAGCAAAAAGCATCACTCAGTAAGCCACGCAATATGACATTACGTCCTCTTCCTTACATGCGATGATACAGTTAGATTCTGCCGTGTAACTTCACTTTGTGAGGGGACCTTGTGCTTTATAACATAGGGATAGAAAAGCCCTTTCCAGTGAGAGAGAAATGCCAAAATTCTTTCATAAAACACAGACCACAACAGTGTAAGAACCTCACTGATCAAAACACACTTTAAAAAAAATTCCAAACACTGGGTAGCAAAGAGAAGGTATTGCTGCCCACAAATCAGCAGAAGGTTTTATCAGAAAAATTGGTAAAGATGTAACCAGGCAAATCGGAGAAAAGAATAAACCATCAATAAATATATAACAAATTCACAAACTGGTTAATCGAATTTGAAACTTTGGGCTAGGCATAGCTTAGTGGCAAAGCACTTGGCCAGCATACACAAGACCCCAGATTTGACAAGCACAACAAATAACAATAGTAAGAATGAAATTAAGTCAGAAATTCAATTCTTTTTTATGCTTATCATCTGGGTAAAAAAATTAAAGGGCAGAGACTTCCAGAGTTGACAAAGAGTACTAAAAATATAGATTCTCATGTTTAAAGATTTATAATTTTTATGTGTATTTGTGAGTGCCCGCACCACACACGTATTGCACCACATGCATGCCTGGTGTCCACAGAAGCCAGAAGAGGGTGTCAGATCCCTTGGAACTAGAGTTATAGGCAGCTGTGAGCCACCTGATGTGGGTGCTGGGGACTGAACCTGTGAGAAGAGCAAGTGCTCTTAACCACTGAGGTATCTGTCTGTTCCTCATTTCTTTACAGAGGTTTAAGACTCTTCAGTAAGAGAGGCGATTTGCCTGGATGGCAAGAATACAAGCATCACGTGACCCAGAATCCTATCCACAGAAATGCACACATGACAGGGGCTTAGCGGTCAGTCACTAGCAGCTGCTCTGGGCCTGAGGAGTCTGCAGGCTGCCCCTGAGCACAATAAACTTGGCATTCTTGTATCAAGGATGGCCCGTGTCTGTGTGTCTCTCTCTCTCTGTCTCCAGCTTAAGTCCTGGCTCGCATACCATCTTGTAGTGGTCCGGGCGCTACATGACGTTCGGCTTTTTATAAGTAGCCACTTTAGTAAGTATAAATATCCATCTCATGAAAGGAAATAGAGCCATCAAAATAAACAGAAGACTTAAATACACTGACCTGGAGGAAGATCTGGGGTTTAATATGAATAGAAACAATGTTTGCTCTCATTTGTGTAGAAGGATACATGGATACACACACCTTCTTCTCTTGTACATCAAGGGAATTAACCAACTAGTGCCTCTGAGGAGGAACCAGTGCAGTTGCATGGTAGGCAAAAGATAGGTTCCAAAGCCTATGCAGAAACAGATACTCCTCAAAGCTTTCTGAGACCTCTTAGATTGCCCATGTGTTATTTTATACATTCTTTAAAAAATATTTTATACATTCTACAATAAACTATCTCACATACTTTATGTATAAACATAAATTGAGGTAAGTTACTAAATATGGCAACATTATGTGTGCAAAGTAAAAGCCTGGCTTTTCAGAATTATATTACCTATCTCTCTCTTTTTTTTAATTCTAGTCCACATAGACAGATTTACTTATGTTGAGTGAGTGTGTGCTGGACACAGGCAGTGCCCCAGACAACCCTTGCTGGACTAGCTACCTTCTCAGCATTGCCTTTGAGCAGCTCGATCCGGGCGTGGTAGAACAGTATGAGCGAGCCCTGCGGAGAAAGGAGAAACACACTTGAGCAGACCGTGGCGGCTGGACCGCGGCTGACAGACACCGGAACACTGAGCATACATTGGGGAACTGCTGAAGGAAGGGCGCCAGGAGACTCTCTGCTTCCACCACGTTCACTTCTCCTGTACCTGGAAATGTAACAGACACGGCTCAGTGCTCAAAGACGTGGTACGTATTTACAACCAACTCCCAAACGTCACCATACACAGCGAATACAGACACAGAAGGAACTATTTTGTCTTTGTTTACATCTGAGAAGCACATGATTTAACGATTATAAAAATATTGAAAATCTAACATGAATGTGGTGAAATTTAGCAGCCTAATACATAAATCTTATTTGAGAATAGACTCACTCCAGTACCAGGGGATCCAATGCCCTCTTCTGGCCACTGTGGACACTAAGCATGCACACGGTGCACAGGCATACATGCAGACAAAACACTCACACACATAAATTAAATACATACATAAATATAAGTAACTTTTAAAAATGTTCAGTGAGAACAACCAGTCAAGTGTCCATGCCAAAGATGACTATGACAAATCTATCTTCCAACTCAAAAAAGCCAAGGGTAAACAGCTGGAGCCTACTAGCTCTTACCGAGAATAAGGGAGATGTAGGTATGGAAAGCCAGGATGGTAAGGCAGCAGAGCGGGGACCGCATGCTGCTTCCCGACGCACCTTCCCGCAGCTGCAGAAGGCCCAGGTCCTGCGGAGAACAATTGCATCACAGAAAAAAAATCCGACTGAAAAAGCACATTTATAAATTTTCACAGGTCATTCGTATGTCCTGCCCTCCGTGAACGTTGGTGTTTTCTTCACCAACTTGGAATAATGATACTATTTAAACAGAGACAAACTTCCCATTTTAAACTGGCAGGAGACAACCTGGCAAAACCTCTGCAATTGCTCACTTCATACAGAGACACCTGAAGGGAAAGCTAACACGGAGGAACTGCTGGGTACAGACTGGTCTGTAAACACGCCTGTTGGGGACCATGCTTAAAACAAGAAGATAGCCCACTGTGAGGAGCACCAATCCCTAGGCAGCTGGTGTGGGGCTGTATAGGGAAGCTATCTAAGCACAAGCTTTTGAGCAAGCAGGACAGCAAGTCAGTAAACAGACCCCCCACCCCCAGTTCCTTCCTCCAGGTTCCAGCCCCGTCTTCCCTCAAGGACAGACTACAATCTGCAGGTGTAAATGAGCCTCTCCCTTCCCTACACTGTGTTTGCTCAGTGTTTCCTCACAGCAGCGACAGTGGGCAAACTAATCATCTCTATTATGTGATCCTATGGAGAGGAATAAATTGCTCATGCCCAAGAAATACTGTATTCCTTTGATAAAATTACTGATTCTGAGTTGGTAGGAACTTGTCTCAACAGTAGAGCACTTACCCAACCACGTGCAACCCCAGGCCTGGGCTTCATCCCCAGCCCCACAGAAAATCATCCTGAGGTACAAACTCAAGATGCTAGGCCAGGCAAGAACAAAGGATTCTATGCCCGCAGAGACCGCCACCCAGTGGGGCAGTGAGACAGGAACTCACTCTTTTATGGGACCAGAGTGAGCTCCCTCAGAAAGAAGACTAGATGATTCTGAAATTAGGGACACTTGAGCCTCACTGGGACAGTCTGAGGGCACTCTGTGGATGTGACGGCATTGACCTGAAGCCTAGGAGAGGAGGCACTCCTGAGAGAACATCTCCCAAAAGCTACAACAGAGAGAAGCGGAAATCCCTGTCCACATGAGGACAAAATGCCATTCATACCCTGTTTCCAGAAAATCCAATAAATTCGAGCAGTCTGATAATTCTTGCTGGTAGAAGAGACAGCATCTGTAAGAAAGAACAGAAACGGGAGTGCACCTGGGTTTTAGAAAACTTTAACTATTGACAACCCAACGGCTGCCCAAGCTGGTCACAAGTTCAAAAGCTCCTACAAACTAAGCCACGTTAAACTGAGTATGAAGCAGTGAGGAGACGAAGCCTGGCCTTCCCACGACCCTCGAAGCGCTGCCTTGGCTCTTCTTGTGTGACGAGAAGTGATGACAAGAAAGTCACTGTGGGCGAGGGTGGGTTCTTTTTTCCGTTCTGCCGTGTTTTGTTGAGCTAGGTCTCATCTGCAGCGTAAGCTAGACTTGATCCTGCCTCCTGCTCCCGAGTGCTGGATTACAGGCATGAGCCCCATCCTGCTTTAAGCGAGGTCCTAAGGTAACACGGTTGATGCTCCAGCACTGATAGAGGCAGACAGCTGCACCAGCTCAGCTCCTTCCCGGGACATCCCTGGAGGAGAGTGGAGAAGGGACAATCTCCCAGAAATGGCTGCATGTGTAGTGACTTACCAGCTCATGGCTGGAACCAATGGGCTGGGGCTACAGAGCCAGGGACTTAGGAGGAAAGAAGAGGTTTTGGATATCTCTCTCTCTCTGAATGGAAGACATCGTGGACCAGGTGAATGATGAGGGCTTTAACAATCTATGCAACTTATGCAATCTATGGAGTAAAGTCCGCATACCCCGACACTGAGCAACGCGCATGATTCTTTTCGCTACTTCATTTTCTAACCAGCTAAATCTTGTAAAATTTCCAGATCTCCAAATAACACATTGTATTCAGACAGTCTTACTCACTCTGCATCTCCCCAGAGACTATGAACAATCATTCCTCAAGTTAGATCACTCCCCTGCCCCTGCGTTTTCCACTCCAGAGCCACCATTGCCAAGATAACAATATTCCCAAGGCAAAAACAGAACAGGTTCTAGGCTCCTCACTACTAAAGGCTTTAACTGTTCAGTCAGGGTGCCCACGCTTCCCTTGCCCTGTGCTATCTAAGTGCATGCAGAACTTGGTAACATTCACGACACAGGAAAACTGGTTCATCAATCAAACAGAGGTAGAGGTTTGGGACAGCATTCAAATACAGATGAGGGATACTTGGTTTTGTCTACAAAAGGTTCCAGTTTCTTTATAAATGCTTCCGTACCAAATTAAAGGCCCCCGTGCCAAGCTTGACACCGCCTTCAAACTCATAGAAGAAGTGCTGCTCCTGTTTGTTCTTCTGAATGACATGCAGGATGGAAAGGCACTCTCTAGGGTGAGAAAGAAGAGGAGAGCATCAGTGTCCTGGGGCTCTGACAAACAAATGTTAAATCAGGCTTCCCACCTGTATTATACACTATAAATATACAAATTGCATTCTACAAATGTCATTACAAAAATGCAAAGTGTGATTGTGATGGCATTTCATTTGTATTTTAATAAATAAAGCCTGCCTGATAATCAGAGAGTAAAACAGCCCCACTGGTCAGTCTTACAGACCAGGTAGTGGTAACACACACCTCTAATCCCAGCACCCACACAGTTGCCATAGAAACAGGGAAGTGCATACCTTTAAACCGAGCCCTAGAGAGAATTATAAAATGAGAAGAGACAGCTCTTAGGCGGAGTCTCATTCTAAGATTCTTAGAGGCAGGATCACTATTTCGGACTGAGATAGAGTAAGGGCCAGTGGCAAGCTCAATTTAGGAGCCACAGAATCTCAGGGCGTCAACCTTAGTTTCCTGGAGCATTTCCAGGAAGGCTTCCGGAGTGTTTAGGTCTCCACTGCTGTGAACACGTCACAGCCCTGCCCGCCACCTTGAAATTCGGGTGCTGCAGGCAAAGATTCCAGTTCCCTGTAGCTGCCAGAGACTCACAGAGATAGTCACAGCTTGCTGAGAATACTGCCATCCCAGCTGCACCGTTTGTCTGAGCTTTCCCTTTGCAGAAGCAAAAGGGTGTGGGGAGGGGGTGCTGGTGGGGGTGGGTAGGAGTGAGGTGGGGTGGGGGTGGTGCTGGTGGTGCTGGTTCTGGTGGTGGGTGCTGCTGGTTGTTGGTGGTGGTGGTAGTGGTATCTGAACCCCAGGCTCTCACTCGCTAGGAAAGAGCTGCTAAGCTACATCCCCAGACCCCAGATCATTGTCAAAAGACAAACAATCAAAGGCATGTAAAAAAGTAAGTGGCAACTGCCAACTGGACCGGGAAACAGCCCTCTGAGAAGGGACCGCAGAGGATGTGTCTCGGTGACAGGACACCTGTATGTTGTCCCCAAGGCCCCACGTTCCATCCCAATGCCACAAAGAGGAACAGACAAAATCATAGGGTGTAACCAGGTAGCTCCCATCACCAATGCAATGTAATGTGTAAGGCACAGTTTCCCTTAGGACGCTTTCTAGGCAAATCTAGCAAGCTCAGAGCTAGCCTGGCTTCTAAGCAGTACTAACTGACCAGAACTACTGTGATTCAGATCCTTCCAACTTAGCCCAGACTGCTGTCTGCCCTGAGCCACGTGCATTTTCTCTAAAACAAACAAACAAAACAGACTTGGTGGCACAGGATTGCGATCCTAGCACTCAAGAGGCTGAAACAGGAGGATTTCCAGGAGTTCAAAGTCAGCCTGGGTTACTGAGCTCAAGGCCAGTATGGGCTAGAATGAGAGCCTGTCTCAGCAGACAGAGATTAAGGGGACGTGGCAACTAAACGTGACTCTCAGATTAGACCCTCGAATAAAAGGAACACTGAGACAGCTGGACACTGTAAAGGCGCAGATGTCAGTTTAATAATGAGCTGTGATTATGCAGTACGTATTTGTGCATCTAAGTGAAAGAGCCATGAAAATCCTTTCTAATGAAAAATATCTCACAAAGAAATGTTTTTAAAATTAATTATATCTGTTAATGTCTGCATGTGGATGTGTTGTGCTCTGTATCGGTACCCGAGAAGACCAGAGGCATAGGATCCCTGGGACCGGGAATTCCAGGCAGTGAACTGCTGACGTGGGAGCTAGGACCTGAATTTGGTCCACTGCATTAGTAGTAGGAACTCTTAGCCACTCAGTCATTCCAGCTCTCACAGTGGAAAGTTTTCATGGAAGGTTAAAAGCTGATTTTAAACGATAATCGAGCTTTTTATTTTGTAGGATGAGTGTATCTGTTAAATCTGAATAGATATATAAAAATTATAATAAATTATTTCAAAGTAGAAAAATTTCATTTAAGTTTAAAAGGATTTTAGGGTTTTTTTTGGGGTGTGTGTGTGTGTGTGTGTGTGTGTGCACGCATACACACAATTTGCCTCTGATTGCCTGGAACTGAAATCATGGGGATTTGTGAGTTACCCAGTGTGGATACTGAGATCCAAACTTTGGTCCTGTAACAAATCAGAATGTAGCACTTAGCACCTAAGACATGTCTCCTTCCCCAAGCTTTTAATTTTAAGATCATAAAATATTACCCTATGTTCTTTCCTAATAACTTAAAATTTGTAAAACACTAAATCTTGTTGGAATTTATTTTTGTATCAATGATGGGCTTTTTTGTTGTTGTTTTGTTTTCTGTTTGTTTTTCAAGACAGGGTTTCTGTAGCTTTGGAGCCTGGCCCTGAACTCACAGAGATCCTCCTGCCTCTGCCTCCTGAGTGCTGGGATTAAAGAAAGGTATCACCACCGCAAGGCTAATGGTGTATTTTTTTTCTTAAAACAGTTTTCAAAAAAATATTTATCTAAAGTATTTCTCTTTCTCCACTATTTTGAAAGGACTCATGTGTAAATGGGAATTCAGTAGTGTGAAATGCTAACTAAACATCTAGTTGCACACACACACACACACACACACACAAACATCTAAAATCCCTGTCACTACAGTGATAAAGGTGGTCTTCGTTACCATAGGACTACTTAAATTTGTATTTTAAAGTTTTGATGACTGGAAAAGCAACCACCTCTTTAATCTTCTAAAAAATACTTGGAAAGGAAATTTAAAAACATAATGCCAAGTTTCCCACATCAGCTCCCTCTTGCAATATTTTCCTTCTTTCTTTCTTTTTTATGGATTCCAAGTTTACATAATGACTACTGGTAAAAGCGCCTCTTGCAGTACCGATTTGGGTTCTGCTTCTGGTAATGGGATTTGTTCCCAGTAATGGCAGGAAGCTTATGTGAGACTTGTTCTCCCACACATAACAATTATAAACCCTAAAAAATACACAAAAATATATTTAAAATATTTCTGCAGGCTTGGAAACTGAAGGTGGAGTAGGCAGAAACTGGAGAAGAGTTAAATTCGAAAGCAGGAAATAGCTCACGAATTAACTTTATATCCACGTGTCTGTACCTGAAAGCAAGCCCCACTCCTTCCAGGGTACACACAACACCATCAGGACGCCACGGACTCCCTGCGCTAGAGGGGCTGGGTGGATATAAGGGCATTTCCACAGACGAGAGGTGGGAACTCTCTACTGGTAGGAACCCATCAGCCATGTGACTAGGGGAGGGTCCAGAGGCAGCAGAGGTGCAGGTGTGATGTCCTACAACAGTAAGAATCCAGAGCCCAGGTCTAAGCAAATAATTGCTTTCTAGAACAGAGCTTGGTACAATTCAGGGGAAGGATGAAAGAATCCAGAGTTTCCACAGATACATCAGTATCCAATTTAAACATCATTCCATGGGAAAACATGACATACAGTCAACAGAAAAGCAATGAAAAGAAACTGATTCCAGGATGACCCACATGCTGGGTCTAAGCTAACATTAAAAACTGTATGTAACTTACTAAACCCAATCAGACTGACTCATGTGCCATTAGAGGTTCAGAGGAAATAAGTAGAAAAGATGCAGAGAAAAACAACAACAACAACAACTTTGAGGAAATAATGGCCATAAAAGCCAAAGCCAAAACCACACTCAAACTGCTGAGACGCAGATACAACATGTTCTTCAGGAGACAGAAACAATGGCTCATTAGATCTAGGAAACAATTACACACATGGCAGAGGTCTCAACCACACAAGCGCTGATGCAACAGTGTGGTGGTTTTAGGTGCTGAAAAACAGGCACCCTAACAACTCCGAATACTAGAGTTAGCAAGAATGTCCTTGAAGGTGAAAGCCAAAATAAGCAGGTTTGCAAATAAATGAAAACAGAAGAAAAACGTTGAAAGTTCACACGAGGAGAGAAGCTAAGGAAGTTCATCAGTAGACGAGTGAACAGAAAGGATGCCGAATACAGTGGTGAGCAGACCAGAGTGAGACAAAGGACTTTAAAACAAAGAGCTGATGTTGTGTTACAGGTTTAATGATGCTCATATAGAACACATCACAACAGTTAAAAGGCTGTCCTGTAAATATGTCAATAATTAAAATGGTCAGCTTGACATAGCCTGGAGTCGCCTGAGAAGGAGTCTCCATTGAGGGATTATAAAAATTAGACTGGCCTGTGGGCAAGTCTGAGAGAATGACTACTAATTGTTTTAGAAGATGCGGCCCACTGTGGGCGGCATCATTCCCTGGGAAGGTCCTGGGCAGTGTAAGAAAGCTGAGCATGAGCCTATGTGTGAGCCAGGACACAGTAAACATGGTTTCTGCTTCAAGTTCTTGTTTGAGATCCTGCTCTGCCTTCCCTCAATGATGGCTGTGGCCTAGAAGTATGAGCCAAATAAGCCCTCCCCTCCCCTAAGTTGTTTTTGGTTTGAGGGTTTTATCACAGCAGGAGAAACGAAGCCAAAACAAGGCCAACTGGTAGCAAAGGAAACTTTTGACAAAGCTCTTACATTTTACACATAATAGTACGTAGTAACTCTACGCTAACTATAATAAGCAAAGAAGGACGTTATAATCACTACAGTAACCATAAGAAATAGAGGTACAAAATTATAGCAGATTTTTAAAAAGTTTTTATTAAAGCAAGCCAAATGTAATGGCACGTGCTTGTAATTCCAGCACTCCAAAGTCTGAGGCAGGAGAATCAGAGGTTTAAAGCCAGGCTGTGCTATATAGTAAGTCTCAAGAAAATAATACATAAAAAAACAGCACAAATACAAAATAGACAAATAATTCTTAGGAGAAATAAATAAAGGTTACCTAACCAGAAACTGTGTCTCCCATTTTCTCTTTCAATATTTGCTCTTGAAATGCATGTAAATTTAGACCTCTCTGTCCTACAGCACCAAGTACACTCAGGCAAGAGTCAAGTGATTTACCAACACCAAATGAAGAAATCTAGCCATGCTGGGTTCATAAGAATTTGGAAGAACAAAATTGTACAGCCCAAGAATCAATCTATTTAAAAGCCAATCTTAAGTGTGGTGACACTTGGGAAGCTGAGGCAGGAAAATCAAGAGTTCCAGGCTAGCCGAGGCTATAAAATAAGAGCCTGTCTTCAAAAATAGTTAACTGAATTTCAATTTAAGTCACATTTTACTTTGTAACTTACTTATATATTTGGTAACTTGTTCTAATTTTGAGTCCACCTTTGATGAAGTTGATCATATTTTCATCCTGAAAATAATACAATTAAATAATTAGAGCATTTAGGGGGAAAAGTTAAACAGTATGTATTTGTATAATGAGAAAAAGAGTGTGTGTGTGTGTGTGTGTGTGTGTGTGTGTGTGTTTACTGGGAAGGGAACCTACAGCACTACCACTAATCAGCATCCCTAGTCCCAAACATATTTTGAGCACACACTTTTGAAATCGACATGAGTCCTGCTTTACATTTGAAATGTGCCATTTTGTAATTTTCTTACAAGTTTGAAGGTAGTAAAAGAAATATTTTTTTAAAAAAATGTTTGCATTACCTTGTATTTCTTTTTCCCTTTTTAAGATTTATTTATTTATTATGTATACAGTGTTCTGCCTACATGTGCGCCTGCAGGCCAGAAGAGGGCACCAGATCTCATTATAGATGGTTGTGAGCCACCATGTGGTTGTCAGGAATTGAACTCAGGACCTTAAGAAGAGCAGGCAGTGTTCTTAACTGCTGAGCCATACCTTGTATTTCTAAAGAAGTAATCCTCACAAATTTTGGGCCAGATGTAGTCCAAAACTGAGCATCTACTGAGCAACACTCTCCCGGGGGCAGTGGTATCCAGAAAACTTGGCTACACAAATCAGCTTAAGGCTAAACTTTCCTATCCATCCCACCCAGTAAATAGTTCTTCTTTCAGTGGTCATTGGACAAGCAGTCTACTTAACATTGTACATTTTAATCCTATAAATTTGCAGACCAAAAAACACTGATCTAAATTCTGAAGAGGTTGTCACTAATATGCAATTTGGGGGTAGGGGATCATTTTACTTCTCTCTGCCTCAGGGTTATTCATCATGAAATTGAGGCAGTTGCCTAGATGAATGGCATTTTCAGAACCAGTATTCTAAAAGAGTCTCCTAATAAATTATATCCAATAATCCACTGAAGGACATTATGCTAATGGTGCTGACAGAGACGAGCCTATGCTCCACACTTCTAAGGAGACTGGCGAAAGAGAAGCTGTTTTAGTTTACTATTCTCATTAGCTACTTAAATGTTTAACATTCCCATTAATATACAAGTCAGTAAATGCAAAATTCACTATACAACTTAAGTGCTTGCTTAATTTAAGAACTCTTATATTTACAGAGGTTCAAATACAGGTAGAAAAAATGTCTTGGTTGTTAGTCTAACTCAAATAAGGGTGTTTCATTGTATTTTGTGATTCAGCAAACACTGACCAAATGCTTATTTTGTGCTGGGCACCTGAATGCAAAAGCAACATGATGTGCTAAGGGACTAGGCATGCGCAGTGATGGAGACACATACACACAGACGTCAAGAGAAAGAACACGAAGTGGACATGACATCAGCCAGAAAACCCTCCTGAAGCGCTGGACAAGGGACGGCCAGGTGAAGGAAGGCAAAGCAGTCCTAAATTTGCATGCAAAGGAAACGTCAGCTGGACACGGCAGGGAGCAGTGAAGGCCATGCTGGCATCTGCACGTACAGAGATGAGAGCCAACACTCTGACATCTGCATATACGGAGATTGAGCAGCTACTGAAGAGAAGGGAGGAGTCACATTGATCCCTGGGCCTAGGGTTAGCACCTGAGGACAACCCTAAGAGGAGAAGCAGGGGACTTAGGGGGAGGCACCAGTGCAGCCTGGAAACCTCTTCCCAATTTGTGATATTCTGATAGAGAACACTGACAGAGTCCACGAAAGCCATGAAATGCAGAAACAGAAAATAACAAGGCGACAATCTCATTTCTGATAGTCCTCAATCACAGAATGCGGGATGAATTAAAAGTAAAAAGAAACCAGAGACAGAGTCACTCAACTGCTGTACAATCAATTCAGCAAAAACTGATGAGCGCCTCTGCAGGGGCAGTGACGGTGGGAGCACAGAGGAAGGGGTAGAGCTGCAGATCTTTAAACAGCCAAAACACGGGTACAGAAGTGACCACAGGCAGACATGAGGAAGACAGGAAGTCATGAACACCTCCAAGAAGCTTGATTTCAAGTCCTCAGTTACAAAACAAACTCGTACACCTAATATTTAATTGTCAAATCTCCCTTTGGAAACACATAAGGAGAAATTCTGGGGCCTCCGTGACTCACTCACATCACGGTGCTACTAAGATGGTGATACCGTTGTTGTCAACCCATCTGGGTTACGTACAGGGCTTGGGGGAAGAGGATAAAAGGGCCACACTGATTCAATTGCACTGAATCAGAATCTAAGCTAACAGGTCAACTTGCAGGGGAATAAAATATCGAGACAAGCCACCCCCCCCAAAAAACAGAGGACAATAATTTCCAAGATAATTCAGAAGTTTGAGGTTGCTTTCTACTTTCTTTTCGTCTCTACTCCTGTCCCTCGTGACAGTCACCACTGAGCCACAATGCTGAAGTCATGTTTTGAGAAGCACTGAGGCATACACAGGTGGCAGGTAAGGCACCTCCTAAGAAAAGGATTCCTTGACTTTTAAATACTGTTCTGGCCAGGTATGGTGGCTAGCACTTGGGAGGCAGGGGCAGGTGAACCTCCATGAGTTCAAGGACAGCCTGGTCTTACAGAGGGTTACAGGCCAGCCACAGCTACACAGTGAAATCCTGTCTTGAGACAAAAGCAAAAAAAAAAGGGGGGGGGGGGAATGAGGATAGAAAGAACAGGGTGGGTAAAATCTGAAGGGTCCATGGAATGGACCAAGGCTACCAAGGCAGTGTGACTGAGCTGCGCAGAAGCAGGTGACACGGTAAGCAATGTGCAGAGGTCCCAGCACTCAGGAGGCAGAGGCAGGCAGATTTCTGCGAGTCTAAGGCCAACACGGTCTACAGAGCGAGCTCCAGGACAGCCAAGGCTACACAGACAAACCCTGGGGACGGGGAGGGAGGGCTCCTCAGACCCCACACGTGCGACCTGGATCTCCTTCTGTTTCCACACTAGGAAGCATCCTAAGTCATCTGAAACACCGTCACTAAGTGCATCTGTGTGGGAATACAGCTCTCTGGAGCCTTCTTTCAGACAGGCTTTATCAGGATAACACCTTCCATCACCACTCTAAGTGTCAGTGCTAACACACGATGCTTCTGTACAACGCTGGCAGGCTTCCCACCCAACACCAATATTCAGCCAGACCTTGATTACCTGCACAAACGTGAGCGCGGCTTTCTGTAGGAGACACTCGGCGTAGCAGATTTCGGCATGCATTTCCTCTGTTAAAAACAAACACAATTATATTAAGGCACAGTATTGCTCTAGACGTTCTGAAAGGGCTGGAAGGCGAGGAGCCCATGAGAGATACACAGGCCTAGACAGCTTCCGTGCATCCAGAGAAACAGGATGATTTGTTCTTAGCCCCGGCACAAGATTTTCCTGGAATCTGTGAACTGTTCAGGGAAGTCGTCTTCGGCCCCTTTCAACAGTGACAGCAGAGTGAGGCTTGGACAGCAGAGGAAAGCAACTGTTGGAGACAGAGCCTCACGTCGGAGCCCAGGCAGGCTGGAACTCACTAGGTAGCTCAGACTGTCCTGCCTCAACAACCTGATTGGTGCTGTGATTAAAAGCAAGGATCACCATGCCTGATTGAGGCAAACAAAATTCAAAAGCCATTTAGAAAGAAGAAAAATACCTAAAAATAACAGTAGCATGAGCATTTAGCAGTGGTATAGATTGAAAAGGCTCATTAAACTTACAAATTCTAGCTTCTAAACTATGACGGCATGGCCATCAGGATGACGGTCAGACACACCGCCACCACTTCCGGGAGTTGTAGGAGAACCTACTGCCCTGTGCACAAGTCAGGACTCCTTAGAGGCAGCAGCAAAGGAGCCGTCCTTTCCGACTTACAGCATTTTCAATCTGAGCACAAACATGAGGTGCTCACAAAAGGAGCCATAGCTGTGCCCAGGGATGTGAGCACCACCCCAAACGTGCCCCAACTTCCTATACAACCCAGGATATGTACACACCACCCCAAACATGCCCCGACTTCCTATACAACCTGTGATAGTTGCAGAGATCCGGGGAAAGTAATCGTTATGTTTCTACATAAACAAAAATCATCAGACTCCTTTCTCTGTGGGAGGCAAATTGGTGTGTGGTTTAAGTGAATGACCTTGGAGGAAAGCCCCTGTCCCATGCTAACGTGGAGCTCAGCACAGGACACCCCCTCTTGGCTAGACCCTCCCTCACACAGTCTGCTAACAACGTCTCTACTTTGCAACTGAGCATTAAAGGAGTTTCCCCACAGCGCTTACCAGACACAAAAAACCCTGCTATGAACACTGGCAGCTTTCACCATCACTGATCCTGGCCCATGCCTGTGTGCCTTTGCAGTTCAACGGACAGGGCAACTCAGGGCAATCTGTGTTACTAGGTAAGAATATAAGTTCTCCTTCCTTTACACACACATAACCCACGGGCTCTCTCATACAGACTCAGATGTTCAATTTATGAGGACTACGCAGCTGAGCTCCCCAGCAGCCAGGGTGGCAGCCACAGAAGACAGCACTCATCGGGCATCGCCGCCAGTCAAGGTGGTGGTCTCCAGGACACCATCCCTCCAGGTGAGCCTCGCCGTATCTTCAGGGGAATTCAAAATGGCGGGTTATTTTTGGTCACCCAACCAGCCTCCTCCTAGGTAATGTAAAGGTGACAACCACCTGGGATTATTAATGTCAAAGGCCGCCTTGGGAAGAGACCACCTGCCTGGAGCAGGTGAAGAGGGGAAAGTAAGCACTGTTAGAGGACCAGATAAAGCAGGGCACGAAAGCACAGGACCCCTCCTCAAAGGGCACCGGGGCTCCCTGGCCGCAGCCTGAAATGTATGAGAGGAGAGGGCAGCAGGACAGAAAGGCCAGTCAGGGTGACACGGGACAGTACCGAATGTTACAGCCGGCCTGATTTGCCAGGCTAAACAGCAGGTCCTTACCAAGACCAAGACAGACAGGAAAGAGTACTACACAGGACACATCACGAAGCAGGGAGAGCAGGGACTCTTTCCACGTCCAAAGCATTGCACCTCACGCTGACTCTCTGAAGTCAGCCTGAAGCTACTCAGCTCCAGTCAGCAGACACGGTGGAGAGGAGCAAGTGTGGCCCGTGGTAAGCCCATGGAAAGAAACTTCATGTAGTATACTCATTCCTTAACACAGCTAGAAACGTAAGCAAAATTACCAACAGGAAGACAAATCCCATACTAAAGCTACAGTGTTATGCCATGCCCATTGTTCTGGTTAGTCATCAGCCTGACAAAAGCCTAGACTATCCAGGAAGAGGACCCTCAGCTGAGGCTGGCCTGCAGGCAAGTCTGTAGGGCATTTTCTTGATTGATGATTGGTGTTGGAGGGCCCAGAAGGTGGTCCTGGGTGGTGTAAGAAAGCCGGCTGAGGAAGCCATGGGGAACAAGCCAGTACCCATCTTCCCTCCATGGTCTTTGCTTCAGTTCCTGCCTTGGCTTCCCCTAAAAATGAACTGTGACCTATAAGCCAAATAAGTCCTGTCCTCCCCAAGTTGCTTTAGGTCATGGTGTTTTATCACAGCAGCAGAAAGCAAAGGAAAGCGGCCCTCAAACATAAAGTCTGCTTGGATTGCGGTAGCAGCCAAAGGCCCTGGGAATAACATGCAACTTAATTTCCAGAGCTTTATCCCTTCATCACGGTTGAGTTACACTGTATAATTTCTTTACCAAAATGCCTCTTAATGTAAATTCCTTAGTTCATGAAAGAAATTCACAGTGTACTCAAAAGCTAGCTAAACACAGTCTTTTTGTAATAATCTAAAGATACCAATAGTTCAGAAGAAGCTACAGACATGGGCTAGTTAGTTTTTCAATAATTAGTACAAAGTCCAGATTTTTTTTTTTAAAATGCTCTGTTTAGAGGCAAGAAGGAAAAATCAGAGCACAGTCATTGATTTTCCAGATGTGATAATTCAATATTTTTCCATCAACCATGAAGGATGTTTTCTACTCCCCTACAGGAGAGCATGGGGCCAGTGGAAATAGCTGAGTTTTAGGGAAAGTAGACCATTTTAAATACTGCTTCGATGTTGGCCACCTTGGCCACTTACTCTTCGTGGCCATCGGTTAAACATATTCGGTCAGTTAACGTTAAAGAAAGCACCAAGAGTGAATCTGGTGCCCAAAGAACACTTTTAGAAAACAGAGCATTGTGGTATTTTAAAATTATTTATACTCACACCAATAATGCCATGTCATTCCTCCCAAAACCAAGATTTTAAAACTCTCCAATATCAATCTCAGACCACAAAAAGGCAAGCAGGAGCCAGTGCCACTTGGAGGGTGCCAGGAGGAAGAATACAGATCCCAGAGTCATGCCAGGGCCAATTTCATCTCCCGTGGGTCATCTCTGGAAAACTTTGGGCCTCCAAGTATCAGTCTGTACTCTTATAGATGCTTGGGGGTCAGTTTCTAATGGAAAAGAGGATGGGGTTCAACTGCCCGCGGTAACCGACAAAATGCCATCTGCTTCTGTCATGGCTGAGTCCACACTATCCTCGTTTTCAGGAAGTCCTAAAGACGTGATGTGTCACAATCCTCAACTGTAATCAACACTCATAACTCACGTCACTCAATGTCCCAATCAAGCTGGCGACACACCTACGGAGCAAAGAAAGCCCCGTGATAAATCTCACTCGAGGTCTGCGGTATACTTGACCACTCTGGCTGCCTCTGACAGCCAAGCGCGGAGCTGCGCCCTACTTTATCCAGTGTTTGGTACTAACTACCTCCTCCACAGGACAAGTTTGAAAATGACAATATGGACATGAATTCTCCCAAGACAGCGTTGCCTCTACAGAACTGCCCGGATGCTCCCTGACGGTGGGTCACCATCTCTGCAGGGCCACATAGAACACTTCGGCCCTCGTCTTACTGGGAATAAAACAGCTAACAACTACCTTTCCTCCATCTATCTATTGAGTGCTATCAATATTCTTAAAGCCCACAAACCAAACATCTTCTCTGTAGACAGCATCATCATTTTTAAAGGTTAAAAACTATCCAGATACAGTGAGTGGCGCATGCCTTTAATCTCAGCATGTGGGAAGCAGAGTAGATAGATCTCTGTGAATTCAAGGCCAGTCTGATCTACACAGTAAGTTCAGGCCAGTGAGGAATACACAGGAAGAGCCTGTCTCAAAAACAAAAAAGGATTTTTTTTCACCTTGGAAAAGTATTAAAAGTCTACATAAAATGAAACTCTCCAAAGTGGTTGTATATAAAGTTTTCAGAAGAAAAAATACCAATACCTATAAATATTGTAAAACCTCAGGCCCTTAGTTGCAGCAATTCTACTTTTAGAAAACTGACTCATGAAATACTTGAAAGAATACATAGACATGTACGAATGTTTTCAGCACAGCAGTATTTGCTAACAATGAGAAAACTAAAGCCATATAGCTGTCCTTTAGTGTGAAAAAGCCCACGCTCTGTGGCACCATCCTGCTCATGACTGCACAGCTCTGAACAGATAAAATGCATTAGCACACACTGATGTGGGTCCAGATGACACTGGAGTGTGTGTGTGTGCGTGTGTGTGTGTGTGCGTGTGTGTGTGTGTGAAGGCTTACAAAAAAAGGCAAATGAGAAGCAAAACTCCATGCATCCCTTATACACATCTGTGCTGGTACCAACTGTGTCCAGAGCTGAGGTGAGTCAGGGGATGAGCGGCATGGGGAAGAGAAAAGGATTCGCCCCTCATTTCCCACACTGCAGTGTTGGGCTGTAGGACAGGGTGCGTCCCTCCCTCTAAAGGGAAAGGAGAGCAACACCCGCCTCTCTCACCTTCACTCAGCTGCTCCAGCGACCCACGAGAAAGCAGACTTGAGAAAGACTCCACAACTGTGCATTTCTTCCTGTATCTGCGTTGGAGACCGACACGTGGAAGGAGAACAGAGGGGAAGACGGGCATCAGACCGAGTTCACCGTCACCGATAACCGCCTGAATCACGCTGCAACTCTCAGCCCTCCTCTCCCCGCGCTGCATGCACAGTGCCTAGGCCTGCACTGCCAACCACAATGGGCATTCAACCCAGCACGCATAGTGCAGAGGAGCCCACACACCACCCTGGGCGCAAATCGTGCATAAACCTACGCTCTTCTTCCTGGATAAAAGCCTAATTTCTGTGGTGAGCATCTCCACGGGAGAAAAATGGACGTAAAGTGCACGGTTGGGAAAACGCTCTTCATTTGAGGAATGCCAACATAATTACATGAAGATTCATCTTGCCCACATTAAAATTCACCAGTACAGATAATGGCTTTCACTGAGGCCTGCTACATGCAGAGTGGAGCTTAACACTGATGCTCTGCCTCACTCTGATCCACCAAGAGTGTCTAAGCACATCCTGAGGCAAACAGAAATTCCCTTCTGGTTGTGCAGGTTCTCCCATTGAGAGGAAGCACACTCCCTGCTTGACCTCACAAGATACTCGGTTCTTAACTGGTCTACCTCAGCAGACCTCAAAAGACGCTCTCCACTAACCCTCTGAAGCCTCCCTCAGGCTCTCACTATAGTTCAGACCCGTGTTTCCAGCAGGGGGCGCAGGTGCTAAAATGGGAGCCATATTATGAAGCCTCAAAGTTTCTCGGCCAATTCAGTTCTACACAATGGAATTGAGGCTAAAGGCCTGTGGTATAGTTCTGGCCAGCCTCAAACCCAGAGACCTTAGCTCAGCAAACAGCATCCCCTTGGCACTAAGGTAAGAAGGTCTGGGGTCGTAAGTTGGATATTAACAACTCAGTCATACTTTTGGCAGGTTTGCAAAGCGTCTTTCATGGCGGAAATGCCGTTCTGGATGTCCTGCTGCTCAAAGGTCATGATGGCCTGCAAGACCACAATGGTGCTGTATCCCAAGGCGTGGTACATGCTCTCCTTGGCCCTGCAGAGAACACAGACAGTTAGCACATTTCAAAACAATGCAAGAAAAGGAAACAGAAGTCCCGGTGTTTCTGACACCAGCAACACCAAATCCTCACCACGCATGTTGACGTCTGTTCCACGTTTCTGAAATGATACACCTCTGAAAGGCCTGCTTTAAAAACTCAAGCCCTGATTTAAACTCAGCAGAATAGAGCTGCCAACAACATGCCGTTCCCTGATTCAGCACAAGGGGGCAGCCTGGAGATTCATTTCCGAGAAAAAGTTTAAAAGCAAACCTATTTCATTTTTTTCTAATTGAATAGCGGGAAGTGTAACCATCTTAATTTCTGAAATGAGTGAGGCCTGATGGCACACAACTTCAGTTCTAGCGTCTGAAAAATAGAGACAGGAGTTCAGGAATCCAAGGTCATCTTCCCCGAGTTTGAGGCCAGCCTGATTCTTTGTGATGAACAACTACATGTAAAGATATATGGATGAATAAAGGGGTTCACTGCGTGACGCACTATGTCATGCTAAAGCTTCCATGATGAGATTTTTCCCTTCCTTTTTTTTTCCCTTTTTTATCTTAAATTTTATTTTGCTTTATTTTGCTGTGGAGGCTGCGAGGGCACAGGGCAGATGCAAGGGGATGGGAGATGGGTGGGATCAGGATGCCTGACATGAAAGACAAAGAATAAAGAAGGTTTAAAAAAAAAAAAACCTGCTATCTCCTCTCTAGTCAAAGCCAAGAGGAAGCAAGATTTTGCAATCAATTAGATCACCAAAGTACACCTCAGGTCTACTACCTGGGTCTCCCGATTAAAGTCTGGGAGCTGAGGTTGTCAAGTTCAGGATGCCGGCCTGAGGCTGCTTGCTCTCCTCAAAGCCTCTTATGCTGATCATTTATATTAGAAACATCAAGGTGGAGTTTTGTTTTTAATTTAAGTGCTATGGCTCAACACCCCTAGGCTACATAAAGCTAATGCAACATTATCCTTTTGCCTCGGACAGGGTCTAAAGAGCCTTCGTCCAGAATGAGGGCACTGCCTGCTCACCCCGTGACATTCAAATCTCACACTCAAGTGGGGTGAAAAGGGAATTTTAACAGTGAATTACGCATAAAGATCAGAGACTATATAACTAGTGATTTATTTTTATCCCTATTTTATAAGCAAATGGTAGAGATGAAAAGGAGACCTGTTTCAAAAATAAATGAATAAAGGAGACAGGTAAAGACACCGCAGAGTCAGAAGGCAAGCTGACAGCCGGCGAAGGGAGGCAGTTGTGAGGGCCCACGGACGTGATGAGCCTGTGCTACCTTGACTGGAGGCCAGAGAGTTTGAACTGATTTTTGCTCTTTCAAAGTTGTTGACAACAAGTGTGGCTACAACTAGAGATCCTGACCTAGGGTGTGGTTTAGGTTTTTGGGTATAAAGGTAGGTCCGCTCCACCAGAACCAAAGGTCGCTCCACCAGAACCAAAGGTGGGAGAATTCAAGTCTATTCCTTATATCATGTTAAGGAAGTCTGTTGCCGCCTGCTTCCCTTTTGGGGTGAAGCATATAAGAGTGTGGAAAATGAGGGATCCAGGATTCACTGACTGTCCTTCCTGGTGCTGTTCTGTGTTTCCATCTCTATTTCTCTCAGATCTCCGTTCCTTTTGCTTAATAATTCTAATCCTCAGGCACCTACCCTGACACGTATGAATTTCACTGAGACTTTGACAAGGATCCCACCCCCACCCCGCCCCCTTGAACTGAGGTTTCCTCCCAGATAGACAAAGTTGACTGTTTGCTTGGGGTTCTGATTGTTCTGATTCTTTATTACACTATTAAAATCCTTGTGCGCCCTTCCCATGTGTTGAATCTCGGTCTTCTCGATGTTTACTTTCATACCAAGGTTCTCACTGACTTTCACCACTCTATTTACCATGGCCGGCAGCTCATTTGGACTTTCAGCAAGTAGTGCTGTGTCGTTGGCGAAATCTAAGTTGTTAATTTGCACACCGCCTATCTGCATGCCTGTCTCCCCGTCCTGCAGGGCTGTTGCTATTATTACTTCCAGGGATGGATTAAAGAGCAGTGGTGGGAGGACGCATACCTACCTGCCACACTCCCACGATTGTCTGAAACTGATGACTTAGTTCTCCACCTCAAGCAAACTGTCAACTTTGTCTATCCGGGAGGAGACCTCAGTTCAAAGGAAGGAACTATTTCAGATGTCAAGAGGCAAAAAGGGACAGCAAGGGCTGCATTCCAGGCACTAGGAAAGGTTTGGTCAGCAAGAGACGCAACGACAACAAAATGACAGGTATATACGACACTTGTCTTGAGCTGCCGTCTTTATAACTTTGAAACCTGGACAGTGAGACGCTCCTCAGAACAGCATCTACACGTGCCTGAGATGGCGTGTCTCAGGAGGATTCTAGGCGTCACACGAAGAGATAGGCTACTTGAGATACTTCAGCCATGTTATGAGAATAAAAGACAGCAGATGACCAAAGACAACACTGCTTGGAGGAGTGCGCGGGATAAGGTGAAGAGGAAGGGCACAAAGAACGCTGGACAGACAGCATAAAGGAAGACTGTGGAGCCTTGGGCATGACAGTAACACAAGCAGCGAGGACTGCCCAGGAGAGGAACTGGAGGACCACAATAAACGGGCTGCCCATGCATGCTTAAGCATTGCTCGGGCGTAAATGATGATGATCAACAATGATCTTCGACAAGCAGTGGTCCAGACGGTGACAGGCGAAGTCTGAGGGATACCACTGGCCACTTGATGCGAGGGATCAGACTCCCCAACTTTAGCATCAAGTCTTCCTCTAGCAAGTTACAAAAGAACTCCGCTTCACCGGAACTGAGTCTGGAGACAAGATCAGTTCTGCAAAGTCCGTCAAATGCAGAGCTGAGGCCAGTAAGCAGGTAGGGCTGGGGCACTACCACGTCTGCAAAACTCAGTGACAGAAGCAGGGAGCCCCTATCGGATTCCTGACATCTGAACTTTGATTTTAGCACCAAGATCAGGCTTCTCTAGTCACTCCCCTGTTTGCTTCAGAGGAAACGCTGTTCAACAATTGATAACAGGAGTGCTCGTGTGAAGACTTCGCTCCAGAGAACAAACGTGGGCCTCGAACACCAGAGACATCTGAGCAAGCATGGGAAGAAGTATCCAAAATTCCTATCAACTAAATTTGAAATGACATCTCTTTAAAGCTGGTTGATGGGAAGGGGTCTCAATCCAATTAGCTTACAAACACTGCGCAGATACAGACATTAACACAGAAGCATGACATCAGAGAAACATGAAAACTATGTTATCTAATGAGAAACAGCTAATTACCATGGACGAAGCAGCTCCAAGGCATCTTTAAACTTGTTACTTAGAAATAAGTTCAATGCCTCTGCACACTCTTCCAGCCCACTCTTGAGATCCACCTTGGTTGATGAACTGAAGAAAAAAAAAACAAAAAGATAAAGGATTTGAGTAGTATTTACTATTAGCACCTTGTCCCAAGGAGTCGGGGAGGGGAGTCTCGGTGACCAGCTGAAATTCCCCCTTTACCACTTCCCAATGCTGGGCAGGAGCTTCCCCTGCCCTCTGTAAGGCCAATGCTCTGCATCTGTCTCTAAGAACCAGGCGGCCGTGAGCACAGGCACACACACGTACTGCACACAGGGGCCGAACAGTGAGTACCCAATTACCCACATTAACATGTAAAAGTACATAAACCTCTGCAGAGGAGGGGGAGTGGAGACATAGATACAACAGAAGATTGTATGTGTTTCTGGTTTGTTCTTACAAACAGTCTGACAGTAGAGCCCATGCTGGCCTGGAACGCACAGCAATTCCCTGCCCTATCCTCCCAAGTGCTACAATCACACGCATGAAACTCTGAACCCCATTTCCAGGCAGTCTTCTGACTGTGCAGCCTGTCCACACTGGTGTTCTATCCTCTGGCTCATCTTCCTAGGCACCCAGGAAAGAAGGAGGAGGCACACAGCACTGCCTTCTCCCCAGAATAACTTCCCTTATCAAAGAAGAGTCCTCCCTGTTCTTCCAAAGGGAAACAGAAAAAGAGAAAATGGCACCCCCAAAGTTCAGTGCAGGAGCGTCAAAACCCATGTCTCTCTGACCTCCCATCTCCTTTTATCTTTCTTTCTTTCATTCTGTTTTTAAACTGTAGCTGTGACCCAAAGCTCAGCCTAGACCTGATGGTAACCCATCTGCCTTGGCTTCCTAAGCACTTGGATGGGCATGTGCTAAGAGGCATCATTTTCTACATCCCAGCGCCAACTCTGTCTATAACATACCGAGGCCTCAACTTTCTTATCTGTAAAATGGGAGCACGGCACTCTATTTCCAGGGCTGTTGTGAAGAAAAGATCGGCCAACAAACACTGCCCATGGTAGGTACTAATTCAATGAGGGTGTGGAGGGAAGGGGTCACACACATGGGGGCCTGGTTCTGATGAGCATTGCCATAGAAAGATGCTCCCTAACAGAGGAGTGACTCATGGGGATATCTGCATTCAGCGGAAAGGAAATCTACACTGCACATGCAGCAGGCAGGACAGAAAATGAGAAAAACAGCAGAAACTAGGCCAAAGTCAGGACTGACAGTGTCAGAGGAGGTGGGTTCTATTCTAAGAACAAAGGGAGGGGCATCGTCTCAGAAATCCTGTCCCCTGGGTGTGGCAGAGAGCGGCTTTAGCCTCAGCACTCAGAAGGCAGGGACAGGCCGACCTCTGGAAGTCCACAGCCAGCCTGATCTACATGTCCAGTTCCTGACCATCCAGGGCCGCTTTCCCTTCCCAGCCGCTGTGTTCCAGGTTTCTCTCTCACCTGCTCCGCATCCCCTCCCACTCTCTGAGGTGGCAGCTCATCCTCCACTGCCAGGAAATGAGCTGTGACCAGAATGCTCTCCTGTCAACAAACAGCTACCTCCGCATCTCAGCTGCCGTCTGGAGGATGCACTGCACCTGTCCCAGCCTGGAGTAAACAAAGAAGCCACAGCCCTTCCAAGTTGTCTTGTATGAGGTCTGCCTGGAACTGAACCCACTACTCCCAGCACTGCCTGCCAAAGGCTCTGGCTTCCATCTTGGCTGGGGTTCCTCCTGGAGACACACACCCCTCTCTGCTCCCAAGGCCATCCCACGAATGCAGAAGGTTATCCCTTCAGACCTAAGCTCTAAAGCTCTCCCCAAGAATGCCTTCCTGACGACAGAGGCTTTGACGGCATGATTTCAATCGTAAGCAGGCATTAGAGACACCTCTGTGAGCTTGTCAATGCTGACTGCTGGACCCCACACTCAAAGGCTTCCGACTCAGGGGGCCTGGCATGAGCCCAGTTTTGCTTTAATGCACCCTCTACGCCACTGTCAGACTTCTCTTCCTAAAACAGATATTCATGGCGCTGCCTTCTCAGATTAAGAACCAAAAACGGGCTGCCACATAAAGTTCAACAGGCCCAGGAAACATACGCCTACCAAAAGATTTTTAAGAACCACCAGGCATCTCAAAGGTTCATCAACACGGGATGCCCCTCAAGCCTGGCACGGCAGAGTGAAAAGAATCCGGAACCAGAAGTAAAAGTTGGTGTTTCCATCTCCGGAGAGTCCCCTGGGTCCCGGCCCATCTCTGAAACACCAAGGTGCTTTCACAACCCACAACCTGTTTGAAAGACACAGTGGCAACGGCTGCTATGGGCATGCTTTGTGAGTGTTCCTGCTCCGTGTGAGTCAGCAGCTGTGTATAATCTTGCAAACGCTATGGATGCTGAGCCCACACACTCACATTCTGGACCCGCCGGAGCCCTGCCGGCTTCCTGCCACGTATCCTCGGTGAAGTACAGACTCCTTCCTAGTTCTAATTTACAAGACATGCTAATACAGGGCAGAATTGTTATTTCAGTCCTATAGTTTTAAAAACCACACAAAATAACTTATAACAAATATCTGGAATGATGTTAATAGAGGCCTTACATCCCAACTCCATCTCTCCCTTTAACAATACACTTGATTGCAAATGCTGCGTGCCTTGCGGTGAATGAGGATCTGGGCTTTGGCTCCGTTCCTGACCTCAACCCAGTCCTACATATGACCATTACAAGTCAGTTTTCTTCCCTAGTACTCAGTTTGCTAATTCGTAAGCTATGTCTAGCGAACATGCCCACATTATAAGCTGCACTGTTATCACATGCGCTATGCTTAGATCAGTGCAGAAGTCCTTGGATAACGCCAGCTATTAGTACCATTATTTGGTAATAACTAACTGCTTTCAGTAATTCAGAGCCATTTGTTCACGTATCCATGCAACTGTATAACACCAGAGAACGTCCAATGACTAGAGAGGGAACGAGCATACAGATGGAAGAGGAGATGAATAACAGGCAGTTCAGAGAATCGGAAGGGTTCGCCTATGAAGACCTTCTGCAGACACACACGTAACTAGAAGGAGAAACTCGCACTGGGAACTTAGGGACGACGGTGCCTAGGGCAGAGCTGACACAGGACTTTGTCCCCATGAAAGCACGCGAGTGTGCGTGCGTGGGAGGGAAGGAACACGTGCAGGGTAACAGAGAGGAGGTGGGACGGCTGGCGTCCTCACCGGGTGGAGCCAGATGCTTTCCCCAGTTTCCTCCAAGTCTCCTTGGCATCGAGAACTATAGTCAAAGATTTCCCATACCGCACTAACTCTATTCAAACTGGGGTTCTAGACAACAGGATCTCAAACACCCAGCACAACCCCATTTTCTCTGGATGTGTCTCTACTTTTGGATGAGTCATTTAGACTGACTTATTTTGGGCAAGAAGAGAACTGAAGACTGGGCAGTCATGGTTAGGCCTGCTGGCAAATGGGGGGTTTGCTCTTCCATAATAGGTTGAGAAGAATTTAGGGGTTCCATGCCATTTGACACATCATATGCTTTTCTCTTGTTTATCTGGTTGTTGTTGTTGTTATTGTTGTTGTTGTTCTAGATTCCCAACCATGGACCTACCATGGATGACAGGGCACTCTTCTCCTGTATTAACATCTGGAGGAGATGAGCGCTTCCTCCCGCTAGATTCCCTGGGGAGGGACTTTGTTGGTTTCCTTTCTGCTTTATTCCTCCCCTGTGCAGAATAAAGGCCCTGAAGCAGAAGGATCACAAGTTCAAATCCAGTGGGCTAGCTGACTGGTGACTTGAAAAGGCAAAGTAGGTGAGTGGGCGTGAGTAAGCCAACCGCTGCAGCTGCTGCCACCACTGCTGCCACCTCCCTGCCTCCTATTTTGGGCACTAAAGATTGCAAACCAAGATTACATAATATCAGCAAATATTCTGGCACTGAGTTATAGCACCAGCCCTCATCCAGCCTTTTCTTAAGAAAGAAAGGGGTACCGCCTGTTGGCTCTGTGATGCAATGAGCCAAGGAGAGTAGGCTCTATCACCCCAACCCACGAAGCAAAGCCTGCAACTTTGGGCCTAAGATCATACAGGGATGAGGCAAAAACAAAACAACCAAAATCCCCAAAGCATGTCTCCACATAACAAGCCTACATCCTCTCATGCAGTCTTTGTGACTTAAAAAGCTTAGAGTTCCATCTTCACAGGTCAGAGCCCTTCACTGACATCCCAAGTGCCTCTAAACCAGCAGCTCTCAACCTGTGGGTTGTTACTCTTTGAAGTCACATGACCCTCTCACAGGGGTCACCTGAGACTATCAGAAAACAGATATTTATATTATGATTCATAACAGTAGCAAAATTATAGATACGAAGTAGCAATGAAAATAATGTTATGGTTGGGGTCACCACAACATGAGGAACTGTATTTAAGGGTCACAGCATTAGAGAGGCTGAGAACCACTGCGCTCACAAAAATGCTAAGGAAATGTCTTCCGCAGGAGGCCTTAACACTCCCAGTGTCATGTGCGAAATCAGGGAGAGACAAGACTTTACTCTTCATAGATCTTTACCAAAGAGTGTGGTAATTTGCAAAATTCTCCAAATCCAAGACCCTAACTGTACTAAAAAGATTCCAGCAACCCTCTTGCCTAAGATTCAGGCATGCAGATCCAGAGGCTCAGATGCGCACAGCAAATAACCAGAGTCTCTTTTCTCTTTAATTAGCCAAGGCAGAGGGGAGACCACAAGTTCACATCGAGAGGGATGCAGCCAGGCACTCGGAAAGCTATCACACGGGGGCTGGGGCAGGGAGAGAACAAGTTCAATGTCAATCTATCTGCAGGGCCGGCCCCTCATACACAAGCTAATGGAGAACTCAGGAAATATGGCACAGGTATCAACCACTGCTGCAGAACCAGAAATGATAAAAACATGAATGTAAGAAAGATAAAAGTGTGATTAAATAATACAGAAAGGGAGGAGGTAAAAGTCGTCATCTTTCAGACACTAAAAGGGGTGGTGGTACATAGCTTTAGTCCTAGCTATTGGGAGGCAGAGGCAGGCAGATCTCTGTGAGTTCCAGGCCAGCCTGGTCTACAGAGTGAGTTCTAGGACAGCAGGAACCACATAGAAAGACCCTGTCAAGGACAGGACAGGAAAGGAAAGGGGAAAAAAAGAAAAAGGAAAAGAAAAGAAAAAACGCTTAGTCTAGTCACATGAACAAGAACAATGTGTTTGTTCATCCTTCAGACCCACAGGAGAGCAGAGCTCTGGCTCAGAGCCACCCCCACGGTGCTGCAGCCTCTGCGTCGAGTGTGACTTAGGAGATACGTGCATTCGCAGAGGAGACAGTTGGGCTCCTGTAAGCTAGTTCTGCATTACAGCCATCTCTCCTATCCGGGTTACCTAAGCACAGTGAGCTGCTCTTTAATATAGCACCAGCGTGGTGCTAGTTTTGCGATGTCTAATATGTCTCTAATAAAATTAACTTGTTTTGAAATGGCTCCTTGGCAAACATTGGAAACTACCCTGGTGTAGCCCACTACTAAAAATGCTAGACACTGATAAGCAGGTAAAGTCAGTGCCTTGGGCAAATGCCAACTATGTCAGGAAGAAGAAATCAGAAAGCTGAGACAGGAGGACTGCTGGGAGTTCAAGGCCAGCTTGAGCTAGACAGTGAATTCAAGTCTGGACTGGACAACATGTGCGGCCACTTATCAACAACACGGAGGCTGTAGAGGTAGGTCAGTCGGTAAAGCAAGTCCTTGTATGAGTTTGGATCCCCAGAAACCATGTGCAGAGCAGGATGTAGTGGGAGCACCTATATGTCCTAGCAACGACGACATGGAAGGCGGAGACAAGCAGACTCAGAGTTCACAGACTGACTGGCTTGGCCTAGGTGGTGAAGCTCCAGCCCAGTGACAGATCCTTTCCCAAACAAAAGGGAGAGGGCTCTGAGGACGAACAGACAGCCGAGGCTGTCCTGTGAGCACAGTACGGGCAACTCCTCCCGCCACAAACACAATAAGTAAACAGATTAATGAACCTATTAATTAAAAATGAGAAAGGGTCAGATTCAATGGTCTGGGCAATCTATCCTTCATTCTTTCTTAAATAACAGTATAATGATAAGAACATAAAATTTTAATAAAATATCACAACCACTTAAAGAGTCTGGTCCATCAATACCCAGTGTATCCGCACATTGTGCTATCCAGAAGTTTACACCCGCAACACTGGAATGGTGTCCTTGACCAGCAGTGGCTCTCTCTAGCTCGCATTCTTTACCAACAATCCAAACAAAGCCCCCTCTTCCCACACTGCCCTCTACTCAAAGTTTCGTCATAATTAATGACTCGACCATTTGGGAACCTCACCCCACTGAATAGTCTCTGCAGTGCTACCTCCTCAGTGGCTGTAATTCCATGGTGCTAAGAGTTCCCCAAAGCAGTCTTCATTAATACCTGGCACCAGCCTGCTTTGTACCCACGTGGGGCTGAAGTGGTACCCACGCTAGCAAGTGAAGAGTAGAAAGATCTATAAAAGGCTTCTCTCCATCCCTTTAGCCTGAGACCCTTGACTCCTGCTTTTGTGAATTCCTCGAATACAATACATGAAAACAACTACGATAGAATTTATCCTTGAGATCTGAAAACGAGCAACCTCTCCAACAGCCCACTTCCATGGAAAAACACCTGTGTGAAGACCCACTAGCATGTCTCCTCGCTAATTACAGGATGTGGTAAGAGGATGAAGTGATGGGAAAAGTCTGGGCCAACAAGGTGTCTTCCCTCATTTTTCCAAACTGCTTAATACAACGACTTCAGCAACTAGCCTATTAAGAAACTGACCATGAAAATCCATAACTTCCTCACTGGTGCCCTTTAAAACTACTGGTAATAAATGCAAACTCAAAGAATTTCAGAGCTGCAGAGTATCTTAGCTGATGGCCATGTACTTCTCTAAATCTCAAGGTCCAAATCAGGAGCAGAAAGAGAGAGAGCACGAGCAAGGAACTCAGGACCGCGAGGGGTGCACCCACACACTGAGACAATGGGGATGTTCTATCGGGAACTCACCAAGGCCAGCTGGCCCGGGTCTGAAAAAGCCTGGGTTAAAACTGGTCTTGCTGAACATAGGGGACAATGAGGACTACTGAGACCTCAAGAACAATGGCAATGGGTTTTTGATCCTACTGCACGTATTGGCTTTGTGGGAGCCTAGGCAGTTTGGATGCTCACCTTACTAGACCTGGATGGAGAAGGGTGGTCCTTGGACTTCCCACAGGGCAGGGAACCCTGATTGCTCTTTGGGCTGACGAGGGAGGGGGACTTGATTGGGGAAGGGGGAGGGAAAGGGGAGGCGGCGGTGGGGAAGAGACAGAAANTCGATGGGAAGATTTCTCTCCTATTTCTAGGTTGAATGAAGAACAAAAAAAAAAAAAAAAACCAGCACCATCAAAATGATTTGAGACTAAACACATGTGCAGGTCAATCACCAGGGCAGGTGGAACCACAAAAAGTACCCTGTTTACAAACAAGGGCGGAGCATCAGCATCAGCCTCCCAACTACCGCCTAGCTGCAGTGCCTCAATCAATTCACCTGACACCCAGTGCTTCCTCTTTATTAAATGGTGACCCAAATTCTAGACCCGCCTGCCTTACAGTTTTTCGGAGAAGCCGACTGGGGTTTGTGCGGAGGGGAGTTTGAGGAGGTGACACTGGTTACTTCCTGTGCCACCTGATACCAGCCACACCCACAAACTTCAGAAAGGCTGATGGCTCACTGACCGCAGTAGAATACCTTCTGATGAAAAGGGTGGGGACATTCCATTTTGCTAGGGCTACAAAACCTGTAAGTGTTAATACCATAATAAAAGCATCTCGACACCCTAACACCATTTCTCACAATTGATCTCCACTGCTCCTGGACGTTCATCTCTAACCTTTCCTCTTCCCATCTCAGATGTATACACAAATCTCACTCATTTTTCTATCTCCCCTCAGGCTTGCTCTGTGTCCTAACCATGGCTTCTCTGCTAGCTTGCATCTGGAATGTCTCAAAGAACCCATGTGTTAAAGTGTTGGTGTCCAAAGGTGTCATGGTAAAGTCTCTAAGAGGAAGGGCCCAAGTGGAAGATGGTTCGGTGATGGACTGTGGTGCCCTGGCTTTCTCCTCCTGTCTCTTTCCCTGGCCATGGTGTGACTGCGGCACTGGCTGCCATGCACTCCCTCCACAAAGTGCAGCCTCCTCACAGAGCCACAGCCGGGGGGCTGACCCATCACGAACTGGAAACGCCAAACCTGAAGCTCATAGGACACAATAAGCCTTTCTAAGTTGACTGCCTCCAGTTTAAAAAGCAGACTACAGAACAATGTAACATGATCCCATTTTAAACAGTTTAACAAATCTAAGAAGACTGCAAATTCTGGTGTTACGTTTCATTCTCTTTGTGCCTTCTGTGGCTCCAGAGTTTCTACAATGGATACATCTTAATATTTTGATTACCCTCTGACACTCCTGAGACTGCCAATAAAGTTTACTTTGAATCAGAGGGCGGAGCTAGCTACTAGCTGACCAAAATTAGCCATAGAGTTTATGGAGGACCAAGGACATACAGAGAGCCGCAGGAAGTAGTAGGGTGGGGCTTAGATTCTCAGCCTTTTTGCATTGAGAAAGGGAGTGAAGGCTATTGGTCCCTTCTTCACTGCTTCTCTGATCAATGAGGTTCTTACCCCACTACCTGGCTCCCGAGTTTTTATTGATAAAGAGTAATTAGATAAACACTTCAGCAAACAAAACAAGTTCTAAAACTTAAAGAAAAGCCAATAAAAGGTAACTGCTACCTCGCCTGAGGAGCTGAGTTCAGTTTCCCGACCCACACAGTGAAAGGTGACAACTAACTCCTGTAAATTGTCCTCTACACTATACACACGTGCTATGTACTCACTCTAACACACATGCACATACATACATGTGCTATACTCACTCTAACACACATGCACATACACACACGTGCTATGTACTCACTAACACACATGCACATACACACACGTGTGCTATGTACTCACTCTAACACACATGCACATACACACATGTGCTATGTACTCTAACACACATGCACATACACACATATGCTATGTACCCACTCTAACACACATGCACATACACACATGTGCTATGTACCCACTCTAACACACATGCACATACACACATGTGCTATTTACTCACTCTAACACACATGCACATACACACACGTGCTATTTACTCACTCTAACACACATGCACACACACAAAATAATGCGATTTTTTTTTTTAGAAACAAGAAGGTATGCCCCCCCAAGTTTAATTTAGTTTGCTCTTACTATGCTGAGTCCCCTTGCACGCATCTTCTTCTCTAACTTATAAAATAGATGTGATAATTGCCTAAGTCCACCCCTACCTCACCAGCCGGCCCCCCAGTCTCCTGACCTGCCCACAGCAGATGCTCCAAGCTGTCTTGATGCCCGTTTGGTGTCACATGGTACAAAGTGAAAGCCGCTTGTGGCCATGTCCGAGGGAGATCTGTTGATTAGAAAGCAGTGAGATCCTTAGCTCTTTGTCCTGTGAGAAGGGACCGCACACACGTGAGTGCACAGTGCACACCAACACACACCTGCCCATCATTTTCTAGAACTCATTTCTACTCCAATTTAATTCTATTTCATGCTAAACTTTCCTGATACTAGACCACTGGGAGCCGGGCAGTGGTGGTGCAGGCTTTTAATCCCAACACTTGGGAGGTAAGGGGACAGATCTCTGTGAGTTCAAGACCAGCCTGGTCTGCAAAGCGAGTTCCAGGACAGCCAAGACTACTCAGAGAAACTGTCTCAAAAACTAAAAAAGAAAGAAAAGAGAGAGAAAACCCACTGGGAGATTGATTTTCCTTATATTTCAACACACAAACAATAGACTGAAATCACCCACAGCCTGCTATCTTCTGCATCCTTTTTCTTTAGTTCTTCCCGGCTCCTTTATTTGGCAAAGAGGGCAAGGACAGGCAAGGGATGGCTACATAGTCCTAGCTGGCCGGAACTCAGCATGTAGGTCAGGCTGGTCTCAAACTCGCAGCAATCCTCCTGACTCTGCCAAATGCTGGGATCATGATTCTGTCGTTGTTCCTGACTGAGATCGTGCATACATATGTACAGTCCTCCAGGTTTTTGTGGGTTTGTTTTCAGTCAGGGTCTGTCTCTGGGTGGCCAGGCCAGCCTCAGACTCCCAAGTGCTGAGATTACAAAGATGAGCCACCCTGCCTGCTCAGACCTTTCTCCCCAAGTAAAACTATGCATATTTCATTAAAACATTTATTATAGTCATAAGGCAGAGCTCTGAGACAGCGGCTACCCATCTTAGGATTTTGGGCTTTGCTGTTATCACTGTTAATACATACGGGTGTTTTGCCTGCATTTATGTGTGTAACATTTGTGAGCGCCTGGTGACCCAGAAAGCCAGAAACGGGAGTCATATCTGCAAAGATTGGAGTTACAGATGGCTATGAGCTGCCATGTGGGTGCTGGGGATCCAGCTCAGGTCCTCTCAGAGAGCAGCCAGCCAACTCTCCAGTACTGCTGCAGTTCTATTTTGTTATGTTTCTAAAGATAGAAGTTTGCTCTAAAGCCAAACTGGCCTTAAATACAGCCCTTGCCTCAGCCCCAAGAGTGCCAGGACCGCAGGTATATGTTCCCATGCCTGGCCCTGAATGCCAGCTCTTCAATTAGAGCTATTTCCTTCCACCAGCTTATTTCCTAAGTACTGGCTTAGGTGAATGGCGAGACCTGAGTCTACTAACGAAAGTTTAACTACATCCTTCTCACCCTTTATACTTTTACACACTAAATTCCCAGAAATTGTTTCAGATTTTACATCAGGATCACAACCAGCCCACCATGCCACAAACTGCTTTAAGTCCCCAGGATCTGCTCAGGATCGGCTATTTTCCTGGGGTGGATGTGTTCTGTAACACACTTCACTTGCAAATATCAGTAGTGAGGTAAGTGTGTCTACTCATCTCCCCTTCTCCAGGGGCTCCTCCAGGGATCTGGTCATAATACGCCACCAAGGGGTATGACATCTTTTATGGCGGGAGCCAAAATTTCATTCTTAAGGTCAGCAGACTCAGTTCTGCCTTCAGCGCCTTAAGTTTCTGTCTCGGCTCTCCCTCTGCTCTTTCTTCCACTGCTCCATAGAAAATTCCTCGGCAGAGCAATGAGGATGTACTGCCTTCTCAGAAGGATGCCAAGGATGTGGCAAGAGGGACTTCCAGAGAAACGGGAAAGAAACTGGACTGTGGATGCTGACAGTGCAGATTCCTGCTCCCTCAGGACTTGGGTGGCCTTTGTCACATCCTTTGCAGCATGACATTTCCCAACCAAGACTCTCATCAAATGAGCCAGGTAGTGGTGGTGCACACCTTTAATCCTAGCACTCAGGAGGCAAAGGCAGGTGGATCTCCGAGTTCGACGCCAGCCTGGTCTATGGAATGAGATCCAGGACTACCTAGGCTACACAGATAAACCCTGCCTCTAAACATCAATGAAGGGAGGGAGGGAGGGAGGGAGGGAGGGAGGGAGGGAGGGAGGGAGGGAGGCAAGCAAACAGCATTTATCCTTGCAGAAAACGAGGACTCTAGTTAGCAGAGAGCTTATAAAATCTGTGCCAGACAAGGCACAGAACCAAGCATGCTATGGCCTTTCGCCTGCAGTCATGCAGAATTTACACACCTAACTCATTCAGTATAAACTGCTGTCTGTACTTCACCAGAACCTACTTTCTCCTTTTTTAAAAAAGAGAACTAGAAATGTTCCAAATGTATGAAGTAGAGAAAACAGCACAGTACATTATATTATATCTGGAATGTGGTTTTGGGTATAATATGAGCTACACTTAACCTCCACCCCAAGTCCTTCCTTCCTCCTAAGATAGACAATCAGTATCCCTTCCTCCAGCCGTTTGTTAGCTCAGCAATGAGACACAGGGAAGACTGGCGTCCTCACACTGCACACACTGCACACAGCACTGCAGGCACACAGGGGAATTCACTCTCAGGAGACTTGCTCGCCTTTGCTGGGCCAGCACTGACCACTAACATTGATAGTCTAGAAAATGGGGCATTTGGGCTGGAGACATGGCTCAGCAGTTGACCTGTTGCTCTTAGAGAAGACCCAGGTTTGACTCTCAGCACCCACATGATGGCTTACAACCACCCATAGCTCCAGATCCCCAGGGACCCAATGCCCTCTTCTGACCCCTGGAGATACAGGCTCACACAGGATACACACATGGTGCACATACACACACACACACACACACACACACACACACACACACACAGGCAAAACATTCATACACATAAAATAAATACAGTTATGAAAAGCTTGACATTAACTTGTATCTATTTTACCCCAATAGATACACGAATGTCTGAAAATGGTATGGCTTTATCACCTGGCCAGTGATAAACAAACCAGTTTTGTGTTTCATACCATTTTAGCAACATTGTATCAATGTTTTCTCTTCAGTCTCCCAAGTGCTTTGGGGAGCATTTTATCACCTCAATGATCTTCCTGTTGGTTAACAGCCCGAGGCAGGTGTTGATGCCACAGCGAGTATTTGCTGACAATGCCGCACTATGCACCAACCCCTGAGAGAGGACAAGCTCCTGCGTGAGAGGCCTGGTTCCGGACACATTTATTCCACACATCCATTGGTCCCCGCACTTCACATCCTGACCAGTACCTCAGCTTTCTGATCAGTGCAGGCCAACAGATGTGCCATCTGGTTTGTTAACTGGTATTTGGGGATCTTTCTATTATATCATTATAAATAAAAAGTTACTTTATAAAGTTATATTAAGAAGTCTTGCTGGATCTTTTTATTCAGACTTCATTATATTATTACAAATGCCTTTTATAACATTGCAAGTTTTGTGCAAAAATACCTTCTATAGTATCGCATCTTTACATCTATATACATTGTTATGACTTGAGTCTGCGCTGCCCACTCCAAAGTCCGCTGTGATTAAACACTTGGTCCCAAGTAGGAAGTGGTGAACCCTAGGGAGGTAGGATCTAGTGGGAGAGCCTTAGATCACTGGGGTGTTGTGAGTTCTCTCATGAACAATGTTACAAAAGGAACAAACCTGGCGTGTCCATCCCCGTCCTCTCCTCCTGTTCAGAACGTGACTGTTCCTGCACAAGCTACCATCTGTCAGCCTTACCCCAGGGGAGGACTGCCTGATCTACACCTCTGAACTCCCAGAAGTGGGGGCAAAGTAACCTTTCTCTGCATGGTTTAGCTACCACAGGTATTCTGTTGATTTAAAGCTAACACAGAGACATATTCAAGTCTTTGCTTATTCACTCACTAAAGGGCATCAGTATATAAACATTGTGCTGACATCCATGTAACACAAAAGAGCAACACCAGATCTTTATATTGATCCATTTTTAAATGTGTACCATTACAATCAGCACAACTTATTTAAGATTTATCTATTTATTTACTATGTATACAGGCTTCTGCCTGCATGTATGCCTGCACTAGGCCAGAAGAGGCCACCAGAACACATTATAGATGTTGTGAGCTACCATGTGGTAGTTAGGAATTTAACTCAGGACCTCTGGAAGAGGAGCCAATGTTCTTAACCTCTCCAGGCCCATAACTTTTAAATTTTACCTAAATGCTTCTTCGTTCTACAGTTATTCTAAATACTGCTATACTTATGTTAGAAAGTATGTTTTCAAATAGTAAAAAAAAAAAATCTTATTTGCTTGACAGTAAAGAAGGCCACATAGTATATTTCAATTACAGGTATTAATATATAAGTAAAATATGCCTTTATTTTGCATTGTTTTAAGAACACTCTAGTTCTTAAATGTTTTAAACAGATTTATGAGATATATTTCCCATAGGATTCCAACTATCACCACAATCTAACATACAGCAGCACCCCATCATCCCAGGACCAACCTATTCACTGTCTTCTCCATTTCCTCACGACCTCTCATTATAAGCAAACACTAATCTTTTTGAATCTGCAGGTTTTAGTTTTCTGGACAGTTAGCATTTATCATACATGCTGTTTTGGATGACTGGCTTTTTTCCCTTTCCATGTTTCCAAGACTCATTCATGTTCTATGGAACAGGTAACAACACTCCATTCTATCTAATACTAAGTAATATGCCATAGCTAAGATATGCCAAATTTGGTGATCACTTCATTTGTTCATTATGTATGGACATTACACTTTTTGTACATCTTGAAGACTGATGCTTTTAATATTCGTGTACAAATTGTGTGTGAAAATAGTAAGCCAGGAAATTGATAGCTCTACATTTAACACTGAAGAATTATCAATTGTTTTCCAAAGTGGTTATGTGGACTTATAATCGAACCAATAAAATGTGACAGCTCCAGTTTCCTTACAATTTGACAAACACTTGTCATTTTGGTGAGTGTGGTAACTGCTTTGCAAGGTGGGGCTTTGGTGACGGATGTGTGCACTGGCTGCTTGGGATCCAAA